TGCTCTGCAGTGGCTCCACTCATTCCTGGAGGGACGCACCCAGAAGGTGTTATTGGGGGACTCCTGTTCTGCCCCACAACCTTTGACTTGTGGGGTTCCTCAGGGCTCTATACTGTCCCCCATGTTGTTTAACATCTAAATGAAGCCACTGGGAGAGGTAATCTGGAGTTTCGGGTGCGTTGTCATCTGTACGCAGATGATGTCCAACTCTGTCACTCCTTCCCACCTGCTACTAAGGAGGCTGTCCAGGTCCTGAACCGGTGCCTGGCCGCTGTAATGGTCTGGATGAGGGCGAACAAACTGAAATTAAATCCAGACAAGACAGAGGTACTCCTGGTCAGTCGCAAGGCCGAACAGGGTATAGGGTTACAGCCTGTGCTGGACGGGGTCGCACTCCCCTTGAAGGCGCAGGTTCGCAGCTTGGGTGTGACCCTGGATTCATCTTTGAGCCTGGATCCCCAGGTTTCAGCGGTGACCAGGGGAGCATTTGCACAGCTTAGGCTGGTGCGCCAGCTGCGCCCGTACCTTGGGAAGTCTGACTTGGCCACGGTGGTACATGCACTGGTCACATCCCGCCTTGACTACTGCAACGCTCTCTACGTGGGGCTGCCCTTGAAGACGGCCCGGAAGCTTCAGCTAGTCCAGCGCGCGGCAGCCATGTTACTAACGGGAGCAGGACGCAGGGAGCATACAACGCCCTTGTTGTCCCAGCTCCACTGGCTGCCGATCTGCTACCGGGCCCAATTTAAGGTGCTGGTGTTATCCTACAAAGCCCTAAACGGTTCCGGCCCAAAATACCTCTCGGACCGCATCTTGGCCTATGAGCCCACGAGGACCTTGAGATCGTCTGGGGAGGCCCTTCTCTCGATTCCGCCTGCCTCGCAGGCGCGTCTGGCGGGGACGAGAGAGAGGGCCTTCTCAGTGGTGGCCCCCCGGCTGTGGAACGCCCTCCCTGCTGACATCAGACAGGCACCCTCTCTCATGGCTTTCCGTAAGAGCCTAAAGACCTGGCTCTTCGAGAAGGCATTTAACTAGTCCCAGACTAACTGACAATGACAATCGGAACGAAATACGGATTATGAGACTGGTAGATCCCTATGTGGTGACGGTGCGGATTAGTTTAGTGTAATTTAGATTAAGCGTGTTATATGGTTTGTTGATATACTCTGTGTTTTTTGTAAACTGTTTTTATATGTTGTACACCGCCGCGAGTCGCCCTAGGGCTGAGAGCGGCGGTCAACAAATGCATTAAATAAATAAATAAATAAATAATATGCAGACATCAACTAGGAATAATTTTATACACAGTATTTTCAATAATTTTGTGCACAAAATAATGTTTGTGCACACTGAATCATCAAAGAGCAAGGGTGTCACAATTTTAGCCACTCATGTGGACAATTTTGGAGTATTTATTAGGAATACTGAAATTCAAATAAGGTATACCCAACATTTATTACCAATTATCTCATAGAACACAGGCTTATATTGCTGTTCGGAACAGAAAGCATAAATTAGAAATGTAACATATCCTTTTTATTGCACACTTACATTATAAATGTTAAGTACTGGCTTCCTAAGTGTTCACCACAATTTATATTATTTAGGGATGGGCACTTAGAAATATCATCAGTACATACATAAAAAAGTTTTAGAGCAATGCCATTTAATATGGTGGCCTATGGACTAGTGAGTGTCAGCTGGTACTCTCTGGCAAATTGGCAGGAATCTACACTAATATGATGATAATATGGCACAAATATACTGGTCTTTCCCTTGTTGGTGAGAAAGTTGTCAGTCTTCTTTATCACCTTGTAAACCACTGCTTTGGGATACTAGGACATAACTGACTATGTAGAATAAAATATAACTGTACAGGAATCTCAGTGAATGATCTTGCATTGTTTGACCTTGTCTTGGAATCATAGAATTATAGAGTTGGAAGAGACCACGTGGGCCATCTAGTCCTATCCCCTGCCATGCAGAAAAAGCACAGTCAAAGTACCCCTGACAGATGGCGATCCAGCCTCTGTTTAAAAGCTTCCAAGGAAGGAGCTTCCACCACACTCAGAGGTAGAGGGGTCTGACTATTTTAAACAAAAATATTTGTTGTGCTTTACCAGAAATGAAGGAAGGTTGTTTAGAATGGCCCATGGGTGCATAAACTGATCATTGGAAGGAAGTATAATACACTGTGCTGTAGACAATGAAGATGTCATTAGTGACATGCTCATTTCCATCCTTAGCCAAAGTTAAGCAATACTGTTAAATTTGCATTTGGCTCTCCCTGTTTAAATCAGAAAGAGCTGAAATGCTTTGTTTTGCTGAATAATGTTTTCATTTCATAATGATTCTTGCTGTAACATCCATTTCATAAAATGCATGTAACAATCCTATTAGAGAAGGGTTGTTAAAGCCTTCTATTTCACAAGAACGACTCTCCCTTTTCTCATGTTTTCCAAAGAGTTAGCAGTTTGTCTGCATTGACATCTGTGGTGTGAAATAATATCTGATGCTCAACTCTTATGGCTCCATCTGTTTTATGAATCCTGACCATGCCACAGTTTAAGCTTCAATAAGAACAAAAAAATAGCCATACAGAAAAGAAAGGTTCTTCTAGGTGGAGATAAATCTATAGATTTTTAATATTTTTTAAAAACCTCATTGAATGGATACATTGGTGAAGGAGGAGCATTCCAACAACCACTTGTAGCTACTATTTTAGTGACAAATCTTGAGACACACAGAATATGACATAATAAAACGAGTACCTCCCCCCCCCCAAAAAATACAACCCCTTTCTCTCTCTCTAAGGAAATGGAAGCAGAGTGCAGATTAGGGTAGGACATGATATTGAGATGGAAAATATAAAAAAAACCCCACAAAAACTAGCTAGTGCAGAATATTTGGAGACTTCAAAATTAGAGTAACATAACGAGTCCTTCAAAATCCCATTTCCTTGAATTATATCCTTTTATTCTGAGTTCTGCATTCTTTCTCCTTTGTTTTCATTTCACTCATTCACTGAATGCTTTTCTTCAGCAAAAGATCTACTTGGTTATTCTCTGTAAAGAAAAGTGATATAAAGAATGTCTGAACAATGCTGTCATTACAAAAACTCGGGAACAGGAAACTATCTTATTGTTGAGCTATTCAAATATTCAGGAGTGGATGGCCTATGAGCTATCAAAAATGGATTGGATAAGGAGCCAATTGCTTATAAATTATATTGGAGTAGTAGGGTGTGTTGTTGTTTCCAGGCTGTATATTGGAGCAGATAATATGTGTAATACACTGTACCACCCATCCAAATAGTGTAAGACATAATGAAACAAAGATAACTGAGAACTTAGCCCAGTTGGCAAGAGAATTCATATTGTATTCTCTGCCACAGACTGTGTTGGAGGCTCCTTCTTTGGAGGCTTTTAAATAGAAGCTGGTAGTCTGAATGTGATTTCCCTGCTTCTTGGCAGGGGGTTGGACTAGATGGCACATGATATCTCTTCCAACTCTATGATTCAATGATTCTACTCTGGAAAAATTCCCCTTCTTTGACTTCAGCAGCTTTCTTTAGGGTCATGGTCAAAAAAGGAACTTTTACACATTTGTTGATTAGAATAGATACCAGTCAAAATAAAACATGGAAGTAGACTAGGGAGGGGTAAAGAAACCAACTTAGAAGTGGAAAGGTATTTATAAACAATGATAGTGACTAGCTTTGAATATGAAGCCTCTTCTCAGTCAACACCCTTCTGAGGAGCACTGTGTCAAGTTAAAATGGGCTGAACTGGAATTCAAGGCAGTAATTGTACCCTGTCTTCTCCATTTACAATTCGCCAGAAATGACTTCTTCCTCACCTGCCACACATAACTTTTAAAAAAAAAAAGAAACCTGCTATTTATTTTTGGTTGATTGGATTGTGCTCTGACCTGCACATTGTTCCCTGCTAGCAAATCTTACCCAGTGGTTATGCTATGAACTCTGTCTTTTCAAACCAGTCATTGGATGACTGCTGTTCATGTTGAGATATGGAAAAGAAATACTTGGAAGAGCCTTATAAAGGAGACATAATAATTAAAGAATGCAAGTTATTAACATGGTGAAATAGGCGTGGGACAGGAAAATGTGTCAGTGCATGTCAACTGGTAATGTTACAGGATTATTTTGGGAAAATCCCTCCCTGTTTCTCTACTCATAAGTTGTGATAAAATAGATGTTGACTCTAGAGCATGGAAAAGTGATCCTCCAGAAGAAGGCAGGGGTGGTGATTCTCAGAGTATTACTAATTAAATTATAGCTTCAGAATCCTTCAGTGAATAGAATAATAGAGTTCGAAGAGAAGTTGTGGGTCAGCTAGTCCAACCCCCTGCCAAGAAGCAGGACAAACTCATTCAAAGCACCCCTGACAAATGGCCATCCAGCTTCTGTTTAAAAGCTTTCAAAGAAGGAGCCTCCACAAAACTCCAGGGCAGAGAGAGAGTTCCACTACTGAACAGCTCTCACAGTTAGCAAATTCTTCCTAATGTTCAGGTGGAATCTCCTTTCCTGTAGTTTGAAGCCATTGCTCCGTGTCCTTGTCTCCAGGGCAGCAGAAAACAAGCCTGCTCCCTCTTCCTTATGACATCCTTTCACATATTTATACATGGTTATCATGTCCCCTCTCAGTCTTCTCTTCTGCAGGCTAAACATGACCAGCTCTTTAATATGGTAAGTGATCGCTGTGATCTGCAAACCCAACTTTTCCAAGCTATACTCCAGATGTTATTAGACTGCAATTCACCTTCCAGGTATTGTGAGATGGAAGCTGCCATCTAGCAATACCTGGAAGGCCATTGTTTTTCAGCTCCTGGAATACAGCTTCCAAAAGTAATGGGGCTGGGCCTTCAATTCTCAGAGAAGACTGTTCTGATAAGACATCCTTTCTCATTCTGGTTGGAGATGACATCTCTCATTGAAACCGGTGTACCCTTAACTCTGTGTTCTTCTTTTCTCTCCACAGTGTTGGATCAACTCCTTCCTGAGCTGAATGTACTGCTCAAACTTTTGGACCATGAATACTTGAGCTCAACCACAATGGAGAAGAAAACAGCTGTCTCAAACATCTTACAGAAGCTGCAGCCTCCCACAGGTCAGGAAGCCTTCTTTGCCATTACTTGTTTCTGCACTTCTGAGAAGCACCTCAGCATCCTTTAAATGTTGATGGGACTATAAATCCCAAAATCTCCAGCCAGCAGGAATGCTGGGAGTCAACAATAACTGAAAAGCCAGTTATTGCACTATACATGCTCATCCTCCTGCTCTTCCTTTACATTCTTTTTCTTTTGTTTTGGCTTATTCCTAAGGTATAGATAACTTGATTAACAAGGAACAGTCTACATCCTGCTCTTGTGACATATTTAAGCTCTTGACATGTCAGTGCAAGCGTCTGTGCAGGACTTGTCAGATTTAAGAATGAAAGAATGATATGGGTGGACCACTACAGCTTCCTGGCTACTTGCCTCCACTGTGACAGCTACACCCAGTGCAGCTAGCAGGGCCTGTTTTTTCCCCTTTTTAAAGAAAACAACCCTACCTTTGGAATCCAAAGGGCTTCAAAGTACCAAAAAGGTTGTTAAGGCTCCTCGATCAAACACCTATCATTGTGTGAAAGTGGCTAGAACAGCTTGGGTGCTTTAGTGTTAATGTGAATGCACTAATAGTATGTTGCCAATATTAAGAAATAATAAAAAGGATTTATAAAATAAATTCACTAGTTAATTAATTAAATTGTTATACAAACTCTCACACATATATATGGCCCTTGTAGTCCCTTCAAATGCTGGAACTGTATACTTCACTGATTTAAAATTATAAAAAAGCAGCAATGAATTAGGTTAATGGCAAACAACAACAACAACAACAACCTTTATGTATAAACTACCCTCTCTCCCCGAAGAGACTCAGGGCGGTTTACAAAAATAATAAAAGTGGCAAATATTCAATTACAATAAACACAAATAACAATCGAACAAAACATGAAATCAAATAACTCAATATAACAAACTGAAGTAAGGGTTAAACATAATGAGTACAGAGAGTCAAATGTTAACCATTATTTAAAAAATAACATTCTTGTCATTTACTGATTGCAATGACAAAATCTAACAATATAGTTTAAAACAAATCCTAATCCATTTGAGTCGAGAAATTAAATTTTATTGAATTGTTTCTAGCTCTGGGCTAGAAGACTTGATCTTTGTGGGGAAGGATATACTAGTTCAGCCAGTTGGGATCATCAACAAACAAGCTTTCAAATTCCCTGGCAGCTACCAAACTGGTGTTGTAATGAATATAAAAGAAGTAATACCTGTATAGTTTATCTTGTAAAAACAATAGCACCTTACGACAAATTGGCAAATGAAAAATCCAGGGGAGAGTGCTAAATGTCCCATTCCCAACTGCTGCAGACCTGATCCAAATTAAATCCCATGATGTATGGTTCCACCTTCCAATCTTGTAGGTTTTTTTTTTTTTTGCTCCTGACACGAATTGGCCGCCTGCAAAGATGTTGCCCAGGTGACACCCAGATGTTTTGATTTTTTTACCATCCTTGTGGGAGGCTTCTCTCATGTCCCTGGATGGGGAGCTGGAGCCAGCAGAGGGAGCTCATCTGCACTCTCCCTGGATTTGAACCTCCGACCTGTCAGTCTTCAGTCCTGCCGGCACAAGGGTTTAACCCATTGCGCAACCGGGGGCTCCTTAATCTTGTAGGTGATCCTGTTCACTGAGCTTCCACTACAGACTGCCTTTGCTGTCTGTACTGAGCTGAGCCCATAGAACTGAATATTTAGGACCTTTGGTTTCTTAGTACAGTTTCAGTATCTCTTATCCAAGATACCTAAAATAAAAGTATTTGGGATTTCAGAGTTTTTGGATTTGCAATACCAGTATTTCCATATAACTGCATGATGAGATAGCTTGGTGATGGGATCTAAGCTTAAACATGCAATCGATAAATGTGTCATACACAGAGCTTAAAATAATTTTATGCACAATATTTATAATACTTTTGTGCATAAAACAAAGCTTATATACACTGAACCATCAGAAAGCAAAAGTACCACTCTCAGCCACCCTGGAAGGCGCTGAACAAGCTGCACTCTGGGACCACGAGATGCAGAGCTAACCTTAAGAAATGGGGCTACAAAGTGGAGTCCATGACATGTGAGTGTGGAGAAGAGCACACCACAGACCACCTACTACAATGCAACCAGAGCCCTGCCACATGCGCAATGGAGGACCTTCTCATAGTGACACCAGAGGCACTCCAAGTGGCCAGCTTCTGGTCAAAGGACATTTAGCATGATGTCAATTTTTTTAAAAAAATTATGTTTTTAAATACATATTAACTGTACCCTAAACTCACTTCTGACAAATAAATAAATAAATAAATAAATAAATAAGCATGCCACCCGTGTGGACAATTTTGGATAAAGGATGCTGAACCTATTCAGGATCTGTGATTTTTGCCTCCTTTCATTAAGAGAGAGAAAGAGAGATCTCTCTAAACTCTATCTTGTCTTTCTTCACACATTGTTCTCTGGAACATTTTTACCTGTAGAAGGTCTTGCAATTTCCACCTCATGTCTACATGTCATGTCCATATTTTTCATACTGCAGGGCACTTGGGTCCTATCTGTGGAGATGGGCGACTCCCTCCGGTGTGGGGTTCCATGTGCATAGAGTCCTCTAGCTGACCTTGAGGAGCAAAGATAAACAAACATAAACATTAGCTGGCAAGAACTAATTTTTCTGGTCTTTGATTTATTTGAGCCCTATGGATACACATGAGGGATCTTAATATTTATGACAGCTGCCTGTGTATGGCAAATAAAAGGCAAGCTTTTGACAGATTCTTTATATTGAGTTTTTAGTGCCTTATATCTTCAAAGGTGACTACGGCACCTTTCCTTTTAAGGGAAAATACTTAATTAATTCTCCACAAGCGTCCTTGATAAATGGAGCAGGTCCAGCTGTTAAATGCTTAAAATGTGTGTATAGAGAGAGATGAGTGAAGTGCTGTAGCAACTGAACCCTGAGGCAGTGTAAATAGTGATACTAGATCATATTGTAGCTGGAAAGGAAGTGCTCTGTGTTTCCTGTGGAAATGTTCTCCCAGTAGCTTTCCTGCTGGCTAATTTATGCTGAGAGAGACGATTTCCATGGGAATAGCAATGGCTTGGTTTCTCTCATCTCCTGTCCTCCTGCAACACCCAGTGTACTTCCATGTTACTTGAAATGACTCAGTCAAGCAAATGATTCAGTGGGAGGGTCACCTCTGAAATTAGTGATGGGTTTTCATCCTTGCTTTCCACTTTTCAGATGACGGATGTATGGAGAAACAAATAAATAAAGTTTGCTGTGCCAGCCCGGAGGGTCTCACTCCTTCTCTTTCCCTATTAGCCATCTTATACTACTTCTGGAAGACATTGGATTTTTTGGGGGGGTGGGGGGTGCCAATGCCTTTCAGGGATATGAGGAAACAATTGCAAGATTCATCCAGTACCTGCAAACATTTCTGCTCTTCACACAAGCTATGAGGCACAACTCCAAGGATTTTAAGATGAGATGGGTACAATTATAGTGCTATGATCCCAATTCAATTGACATGTCAACATCTCATACAGCCCTGAAATTTGAGGTGGAGGAGTACTTATAATTCTCAACCGGAGAGCTTCTCTAGTGCCTCTGACCAAACTACAAACTCCAGGCTCTCATGGGATGGAGCCATTGCAATTAAAATAGAATCATAATCCTGTAAATGTCCAATGTAAAAGGGACCAAGTCTCTTTCCTATCTTCTGCTTCCTGTGAGTCAGCCCCACAGTCTACCAGGAAAGGTCTACTATGGATTGAAAATTTGTATTTCTGCAACATCTGCATAGCCCATAATTCTGTGGCTTTCCCCAAAATGGGTTCTCTAGAACTAAGTGAAAGCCAGGACCAGCCCTACTGTTTTGCAAAGTGAAGTGACCACTCCAGTAAGCAGATGTGAAGGTGCAAAGCTGAGTAGCACTGATAAGGTAAAATCTTACTTCAACAATGGAGTCCTCTAACAAATCTGATATTCTAGTGGGTCCAGGGCAGAACGTGTCTTCCAGGTTAGCCTGTTGCCTTCAAATATGGCAAAAGATGTTCTTTGCCAACATAGGTTGTGTATCTCTTATCCAAAATGCTGGGGTCTCTCCATTGCAATGTTTAAAAATACCTACATTTGCATATATGTAAATAATGGAATATCTTGGAGATAGGACCCAGGTCTGAACACAAAATGCATTTGTGTTTCATAGACACCTTATATACATAGCATGAAGATAGTTTTTTTCCCAACATTTGTAACCAAGAAAGCAAAGGTGCCACTATCTCAACCACCCATGTGGAAAAATCTGGGTTTTGGATTTTCAGAGGAGGAATGTTCAGCCTTTATTGAAGTAAAGTTCAGTTGCCATTGTAGTTTAGTTCTTTGCATGCAAGGAGGTGTCTTCTTGCCTCCACAAGGTCTTGAAATGATGGTACTTTAGATATCCATTTCATTGCTAAAATTGAGCTGCTGTTCCCTGGAAACTTTTTCTGCTATTGCTATTGATCACCCTCCTATCTAGCTTTGAAAGGATATTTAGTGTGATCTAGGGCTTCTTCTGTTCACCTAGAAAAATGGTGAGAACAAGTAAGGGCTTGCTAAACAGTCTGGTTTTCTTTTCTATTAAATACAGCTGAAGCATATTCTGCAGAGTCCACTGTAAACCCTGTACAACAGATTCATGTAAATGTCTAAAACAGCCACTAGGTAACATTCAGAAAACTTTTACTGTTGTCAAGTTTTTGGGACCTCAACAATGAGCTGAGAGGACCCCATTTGGGGTCGTGACCCACCATTTAAGAAGCAGTGGTCTACAGCGGTTCTCTGTTCCCTGTTGTTCATAATATTTTTTCTGTATTGCAGGGAAAGATGTGAACTACATGTATATGAATACAGAAACCCTCCACAATGGAACAAGCTTTGTGGAGTCCCTCTTTGAAGGCTTTGGTATGTAATATAACCATCTCCAACCTGTATATTTATCTCTTGCTTTTTGGATATGTATGTTTGTTGGTTTCAAGTTCAAGCCTGGCACCACAAATTGGCAGTGTGCAGCATTGTCCTGTTTTCTTGCAGAGACAAAATTTTTATTTGTAAATATTTGATGAGAACAAAGTAAACATTCTTAGCTTTGTACAGTGAACATTGTGTGCTCATTATCGCAAAGCGTCACTTTGAGGGTTGGCCATTTCACTCATTTTTAGTTTTATCTTGTTTTTTAAAGTGTTGATCATCAGTAACAATTGACACATTATTTGATGAAACATTATAATAATGATCAACTTGTAACACATTGGAATTTGGGACTACTGATTCTAAGCCTCCTCCTTTCTCTCTTTCTGCTGGCAGGCAAAGGCCCTTAAAAAAAGCAGGCCTTTGGGTCTTAATTTGGGGTGGCAGGCATATCTTGTAATGGGTTGTGTTGTGCTTTTATTTTCTAAAATTAACTTTCCTATATCTTTAAAGCTTTTTTACTTTGAGTCTTTAATAGAATTGTTGTGTATTTGTCTTCTACCTTTTGTACTCATAAATTCTTTTAGCTGTACATTTGTTTGATTTGCTATAGGCTTCCTTGGGTCTTGTGCCGGGAGAATATCAAATAAATCCACAAATAAGCAAATGAGCAAACAAGCTTTTATAATACACCTAGGTTTTTTAATCATGTCAGAAAGGACTTGAGATAACTGCAAGTCGCTTCTGGTATGAGACATTGCCCAGGGGACGCCCAGAAGTGTTATCAGATATGGGAGGCTTCTCTTATGTGCCTGCATGGGAAGCTGGGGCTGACAGATGGGATCTCACCCCATCTCACATATTTGATCCATCGACCTTTAGGTCAGCAGTTCAGTTGGCACACCGCGGCTCTGATACCCTTAGTGTAGAGTTGTGAGTTGTGAGATCTAGGTTCTGATCCCCACTGAGTTAGGGGTTGTAGTGAGGTTAAAATGACCTACAGAAGAACCGTACATTAAATGAGAGGTAATATTATATATATGCAACCAGAAAAGAATGAAAAGTTAACTTAATATATGAATACATTGGCATGCATAATCTTTTATACTATGTCAACTGAGTATAATATTCACCAAAACAACCATTAAAAAATCTAAGAAGATTTAGCAACTCCAGCAACATCCAGTAATTCCTGAACTTGTATTATGTTTGCATCCCCTGTAATAGTTCCCATCTTTCTCTATTGTGGATGAAGACTCAGATAGAAGTGGGTACAAAAAATAGCACAACCTCTGTATTCTTAGGAGTTATGCTCCTGAACCTACTGTGGAAAGAAGACACTGTGGCTAATATCAGACCCTATTGAAATTATTGACATCAGCTGAAAGTTGTCATAGAGCCACACCTCTGGGAACTTTATAGGTTCATCATGGTGCTTCTATAATAACTTCCAGTGGAAACAATACTTAGAATTGCCAAGGGGACCTAGAACGTTCCCAGAGGGGACATATTTTGTCAGCTATAATAGATGAAACCAAATGTCATACTATATGTTATTGCATTTAATTTTTTAAAAAACTCAAATAGCAGCTCCTTTGAAGAAAATTGAGTGGGAATTATTTAACCCTTTCATCTTCTACTTTAGTCCTAAAGGATAATCATCCCTTTGGATCTCCTTTTTCCACTGTATACTTAATGCACTTGAGTCTCATAGTAAAGGCTCTACCTAGCATAATATCCCCAAACTATAATTATTCCAAATGCTCAGACAAAGACAGCATCTGGATATGAGGTCATCAGAAAACTCATTTAAGCTGATTCCAAAATGCCCCCTTCCTATGTTAAGCCAAAGCTTGGGAAATTATTTTAAAAATTAACTTCAATGATAGTTCTCAAAAGTTCTTTGGATTACCTTTTCTGTCTAGCTTTTTCTATCTAGTATCACAGGATGATTCGGGCCATTGGCCCATGGTACAACACATATTATTTCCCCAGCTCCCTAGCTTTAATATCCATCAGCATAAGACATAGCATAAGTCGGCTCTTGAACCACACAATGTTCTTTCTTCACCATTTGGTGAGATAACAGAAAGTTACAGGTGTGCTGCAAAATGCATGTCATTATTTCTTGTTAAGTTGACATAATAACATTTAGCTTTGCATTTGTTAATGTAAAAATGAATTAATTGCAAATTGCTCATTATCTGTACCTCAGTACTTTTGAGCTCTGAGAGAGGTATGCTGCTGTCCCTCCTTTTCTGTGCCCTCCTCACCATCCCCTTCCTTTCCCATCCTCCAAGTGGCTCAAAATTGTAAGGCATTTAATACATTCAATGCCCTGTGCTCTTCTGGGCACAATTATTGGGAATTGCAATTTCTTCAGTGTAGGGCATTAAGAAGGAAAAGAGGAGTGTATGATGCAACAGGAATATTGCATGCTCAGATGTTATCACTAGCATATTGTAATGTTCACCCCATAACTTTTAACCTTCTTTCCAGACTGTGACTTGAGCAATCTTCAGGATATGCAAGAGGATGAGGGAGATGCCAAAGAGGGCATCAGCTTGGAGCTTTCCAAGAGTCAGTTGACTAAAAGTGTAAGTCTTGTCAATTCCTCATTTAGCCATAACTGAATGTTTACTAGGACAAATGTTTTGGAAAGAGCAGTGCTAGCAGGGAGAACAATTGGGGTGCAACATCTACACTGTAGAATTAATACAGTTTGACAACACTTTAACAGCCATGCTTCAGTGCTATGGAAAGAGTGTTTCTACCACACCAAACTACAAATCCTAATATTCCCTAGCACTGAGCCATGGCAAAGTGGTGTCAAACTGCATTAATTCTATGAGGAACCGTAGGTGGGGACAACGCCATATACTATATACGTAATTATTTCCCTGTGTGACCAGCTTAGTGCTTTATTTGAACTAATCAAAAGTGACAACAGTAAAGACAATGTGCCCCTAAAACACACACACAACCCTGAGAAGCCCCTTGTCTGAAATATGCAATTGTCCAGTTAGGGTTGCCAGAATGAAAACTCCTTTAATGGTTGTGTAGAAGAGGAAATATCAGCAAGTCTTGCTTCTTTCCTAGCTACACAACAAACAACACCTGCTAGAAATTCCCTCTTTTCTATGGCTCTTCATATCCATGGAGCCTGTATCCAAAATCCAAAATGCAATCTTGATTTTGCTGTGTTATATAATGGACACCATTTATTACACTTTTATGTATAATGGGACTTGAAGACCCCATAGATTTGTATATCCATGGGGAGTCCTGGAAACGAACTTCAATGGATACCAACTATACAACCATTAATGATACATGAACTCTCTCCAGCGTTCACTCCCGACTTGAAGTTGATGTTATGTCTGATGCAGACATAGCCAGACACAGTTGGATTTTACCCATCACTGAAGAAATTGCACTTGGACGCTGAGGACAGATAATAATATGAGAATTCCCGATTTGCCATCCATGCTACTTTTATTGTTTTTCCTACAGATATCTGGGGAGCCACCACCGCCATTGCCCACCACACCTCCTCCTGAAGATTATTATGAGGAAGCACTGCCACTGGGGCCGGGTAAAGCCCCAGAATACATTACCTCCCGTAGTAAGTCTAATTGGGACTTGGAGAGGGAGGGAAACAGACAACTGTCTTGGGTCTTGAAACTGCTTCTTCCCTCTCCTCCCCCCCCAACTCCTCCCCATATTAGCTTAAGCAAACAAAGGCTCCTTCTAAGTGTCTGACCAGTGACAGGACTATAATTTACAGGCCCCAGGGAGGAAATGGCACTTATATGGGGGGCTGTCTCACTCCTTTTCCTGCTTTTTTGCCCTCTCCTGGTCTGTCAGATGTCACAAGCAGTTGTTTGCTCAGGCTTGCCTGGAAACAGTTCAGTAAACTCTGAATGACAGGAATGCAAAGGATCCGGACACTTTTACCCTTCCCCACTTGTCTGCAAGATTAGGCAAACATGGAGGCACCTGTTCCTGTTTCTTTTTCCAGCATACATTCTGAGCCTTGGGGATACCCAGAAACAACTTTAAACCACACTGCCAATACCTAACCAGAAATGTATAAGATTTTTTAGTGAGTGAAGTGTCTCTCCTGTTATCTATGTCATGAGCAGTATCAGGATTGAGTGAAGCCTATGGCTACAAGGTGGCTACAAGGTGGTGGCAATAGACTTCCTTCAATAAAAGATGTGAAGGGGAGTCTGTGGAAAACACAAGAGGAAGGCAACTTTTGGGCCAGGAGTGTCAGCCTGTTATATCATTTGGATTCTGGTAAACTGTGTTGAAGAACCAAAGCAAAAGGGATGGAGAGCAATGTTTGTAATCCCTCTGCCAGCATGTGCTTTCTAATAATGACTCTGACCTAGAGGGGAGTGTGAGGAAAGATGTCAAGAAACAGCCAGTCTTTTTTGCAAGAAGTCATGAAATGTGCCAGACAGCAATCTTTGCATGATATCCCTTTTCCTGAAGGCTGTGGTATCCGGTGAGCATTTGAGAACTGGTGGGGAGAAAGACTGGAAGAGGGCCAGGGCTTGGAATCATTACTTTTGGGGCTTACAACTTTTCAGAATCCTTACTGACCCCAGTCAGGATAACCAGTGGGAGTTGTAGTCTTGAGCAGTAACTCTTCCAAATGCTGGAGAGTCTTTTTCCAGTTTGCCTTCTTTGGAGTTGTGGCATCCTCATTTACTGACCTCCTTTGTATTATTATTTCATTACCAAATGGAGTTTCCTTGTGTTATCTTTAATGGTTGGCCTGGCAAAAGAGTTGATTTCAACACCATCTTCCACAAAAAGCCTCCCCCACAGACTTTGTGCCACAAGGGGAATCCTGATGTGATGTGGGTCAATGTCTGAACATGTCTCATCTTCTCTTTCAACAGATAGCTCCAGTCCCCCCAATTCAATAGAGGATGGATATTACGAAGATGCAGATAGCAACTACCCTGTCACCAGAATGAATGGAGAACAGAAGAACTCTTGTAAGTCGCACTGCCAAAAAGGCATGTTGTGAAACCACAGGAGGAATGGAATCTTCTGACTGCAAAATACTGAACTGTTGGCCCCAGAACTGGGGGAGAATGCCAGCGGTCAAAAGATATCTGAAAGTCCTAGACCACCATATGCCTGTTGCACTGAAGTCTGTCTTTTTTCAGTGAGCATTAAATGAGGAATGTTGAATCCTCTTGTCTCCACATGCTATAACAAACAAGGGTGTTCTTTGTTAGTCAATGGTTGGGTTAAGCAACATGGACTATATAGATTCAGCAGTAGCGGGAGTGCGTGTTTTTCTCAACATTTCTGTTCATCAAATATTGCCTGCAACAACCTTGTAGGTAGAAAAGCCTGTCTATTGTGAACCCTGGAACAAGGAGAGCTCAGAAAACCTCTGATTAAAAAATCCAGTATTTTCATTGTCTACACTTAAGAGCATTGACCACAATGTATATCCAACCAAAAAGAGAAATCGGGGATGGTGGGGGAAAGGATTATTTCTAATAGAACTACACCTTGAAAAAAAACTATGCTGTTTCTTTTGGGAGACCTCACAATACTTCAGATCTTTCCTACCTCCATGCAACAGCTGCTCCATGTGGTGGTTATCTTAATTTATGGATACATTTAGAGAATGGTAATAGCTAGCTTGAACTTTAAGAATTACAGAAATAATCTGAAACTGTATATTTATTCTAGCCTGAACTTCAGTGTTGTTTGTTTATGAAACCAGACTGTAGCTGGGAAAGGCCAGTGAAAAATCCAGCACCTTGTAAAGTCAAAGCAGAGCTTATAAGAAAAAGCAAACTGTGGGGCATTGAGACATGATACGAAAAATGTGTCTGTTTACCTTAGAAAAATCTGGCTTCAGCTGAGGCAGAATTCATGCCTCGGATTGCTTCTCTCCATAAGAACCTTCTTCATTGGCTGTACTAACTGGCAATGGTTGCAACAAATCAGCACAAGGTTGGGGAGAAGGCTGCCATAGGAAAACTCCTTGATTTGAAACTCTTTTCCTTCCATGTTCCAACCCAGCAAGCTCTAGTCAGTCAGTAATCTGCACTGTTGAGACCCACAAAATACCATTCCAGACACTATCTCATGCAATAGTTAGAACTTAGCCTTCAAGTCATTGTATTTTTACCCCCACTGTCTTGAGCTAGAGCTAAAAAGATGACTCCTAGAAACTCTGTATGGTCATTGACACTCATGGTAGACATACCATGATACCGGAGTAGATAGTTTGCCTTGGTACATGGTAGCTTCCTTCATTTCTGGGATGTTGTCAATTTCTACCATAGGTAAAGTGAGGCAGCTATTGCCTCAAGTAACAAATTTGAGGCACAGTCCTGCTGGTCAGGCATGACTGTGTACAAGTTTGTTCTGCCATTTTTGTCAAGTAGTCTGTTGCAGCAGCAGGTTTATGTGCATTGCAAAAGCCCACTTTGTCAGTTGAGAGGGATGACCTGCTGGGTCACAGTTTGTTCAGGAACTTGCAGGGCAGTTTTCTTTCCTAGCAGAGATAGTTTACACTGCCATCTTTCCATAACTGCAATGTCAGCACCTACTTCACCTCTGCCACCATGGTACCTGTGCCAGCATGAGCTTTTGCACTGGTGTAATCATACCAACTAAGAGGGCTGTGGCTTTTGAATATCTTGAAAGGGCAGCAAATGGTGGCCTGAATTTTATCATGGTCCCAACTAGAGTACACCATCGAATCAGTGACATTTCCTTTTCAACATTTGATTCAGTCATTCTACTCTAGTTGGAACCAACCCAGGATTCAGGCCTGTTAGTTGTTTAATATTCTATTATTGTGCTTTTACTATCTGTGTAGGGAAATGCGATTGTCTAATTCTCTGTCTTTTGAGCCAGAATAAATTTGCTGGCTTTGAGGCATGGTCCCACCAGCTATACCACAGATTAGGAGTCCTTAGCCAGGCTTAGTTGGAAGCAGCATTCTGGGTCCCACCATCTTCCTCTTTCCTTGTAGACAATGATTCTGATGCAATGAGCAGCTCCTATGAGTCTTACGATGAGGAAGAGGAGGATGGGAAAGGCCAGAGGTTAACACACCAGTGGCCATCAGAGGAAGCTTCCATGAACCTGGTGAAGGACTGCAGGATTTGTGCTTTCCTGTTGCGTAAGAAGCGCTTTGGGCAGTGGGCCAAGCAGCTGACGGTCATCAAGGACAACAAACTCCTGGTAAGTCAGTGGTTTGTGTGTGTGTATCTGTCTATGCCTTTGTGTGTAAGAGCACTGGGAAGGAAAAGAGTCCTACTAATAAGTCAAAGATGCCTTGGGGACAGTTTTTCTGCCTATGAGAGCATGCCTGGAGATCGTCTGTTCTCCTGGGGAATGGTGATGTCTGAGTTTGCCACTTCCAGACAGGATTTTCGCCATCTGAAGTTTTCCAGTTCCATCCTAAAATCCAGAAGATTTTACTGTGGAACTGGCTGATCTGTCACATAGCTCTTCGCTAGTCAAGAAGTTAAAGAAATTGTACCCCAAAGTGTCCCTTTGAGAAGTGGCTGCAAAGAAAATTGGTTGAAGCAAAAGTATTGAGAAATTAAATCCATATTGAACAATAATGAGGCGGGGAGGGGGGAGGAAGGGAAGCAAGGGAGTTGGCAAGGGCCAACAAATCAAACATCTAACGAAACAAGAACTAAGACCTTGATTTTGGATTGTGGCATGGAGGAGGAGAGGTGTTCCACTAGCCAAGGGGCCCCCATAGAGGTCGTGGTGGGGAGGGGGAGATGCGGAAAAAGGAGACCTCAAATTCGGCCTAATTCGGACCGCCTACCAACATTAATAACCCTAAATCGGTCTCCTAAGGTAAATTGGTGTAACCAGGTGAGCGGGCCCTCCGGATTGAAGGTGGTGCTGTTGAACGCCAGATCTGTCAACGGAAAAACGACCTTTATCCAGGATTTAATCCTGGACGAGCGGGCAGATCTGGCGTGCATTACGGAGACCTGGTTGGACGAAGCTGGGGGGGTGAATCTGACCCAGCTTTGCCCTCCAGGGTTCTCCGTACAGCACCAACCGAGATCCGGAGGACGGGGAGGCGGGGTTGCAGTGGTCTATAGAGATTCCATCCATCTGACCAGGAGCCCCATCCCGCAGACCACAAATTTTGAATGTGTCCACCTAAGGGTGGGTGACCGGGACAGAATAGGGATTCTGCTAGTGTACCGTCCACCTCGCTGCACTACAGTCTCCCTACCTGAGCTAGCGGGGGTGGTCTCGAGCCTGGCGTTGGAGTCTCAACGGCTTTTGGTGCTGGGAGACTTCAATATCCACGCCGAGGCGACCCTCACAGGAGCGGCTCAGGACTTCATGTCTGCCATGGCAACCATGGGGCTGTCCCAACAAATAGCTGGCCCCACCCACTGTGCTGGACACACATTGGACTTGGTTTTCTGTCAGGGATGGGAGCAGGGTGGCGGTGTGGAGGAGTTGTCTATCTCTCCGTTGCCATGGACTGACCACTTCCTGATCAGATTTAGGCTCACTGCACCCCCTAACCTCTGCAAAGGTGGAGGACCCATTAAGATGGTCCGCCCCAGGAGGCTTATGGATCCGAATGGATTCCTGACGGCTCTTGGGGATTTTCCCGCCTCCTCGGTAGGTGACCATGTCGAGGCCTTGGTCGCTCTCTGGAATGGGGAGATGGCCAGGGCAATTGACGTGATCGCTCCGGAACGCCCCCTCTCAAGTAGCCGAGCTAAACCAGCTCCTTGGTTTACTGAGGAGCTGGCAGTGATGAAGCAAAGGAAGAAGGGAACTAGAGAGCGTGTGGCGCTCGGACCCAAGCGAGCCAAATCAAGCACGGTTTGTGTCCTTTTTAAGGGCATATGCCGCGGCAATAAAAGCCGCAAAGAAAACTTTCTTTGCGGCTACTTTGCGTCTGCAAAGAACCGTCCGGCGGAGTTGTTTCGGATTGTCAGAGGTCTTTTAACTCCCACCACCTCAGGTGGGAGCCCTGACAATTCGGCCACGCGCTGTGAAGCATTTGCTCGGTTCTTCGCAGACAAAGTCGCTTTGATCTGCTCTGAGCTGGACACCATGTTAAATGCAGTCTCAGAGGATGTGACACGAGCACCTGCTTGTCCTATTTTGATGGATTCTTTTCAGTTTGTGAAACCCGAGGATGTGGACAAGATACTTGGAGGAATGAGGCCCACCACGTCCATCCTAGACCCCTGCCCATCCTGGCTTCTGAAGGAGGCCAGAGGGGGATTGGCTGAGTGGGTAACGGTGGTGGTTAACGCCTCCCTTCGGGAAGGCAAGATTCCAGCGAGCTTAAAACAAGCTATTATAAAACCGCTGTTGAAAAAACCATCACTGGACCCCACTAAATTTGACAACTTTCGGCCAGTTTCCAATCTCCCCTTTTTGGGCAAAGTCATGGAAAGCGTGGTGGCCTCACAACTCCAGGTATTCTTGAGAGACACGGTATAGTCTGGATCCGGCACAGTCTGGTTTCAGACCGGGACATGGTACCGAGACGGTCTTGGTCGCCTTAGTGGATGATCTACGCCGGGAGCTAGACAGGGGGAGTGTGTCCCTGTTGGTGCTCCTGGATCTCTCAGCGGCCTTCGATACCGTCGTCCACGGTATCCTTCTGAGGCGCCTTGCGGAGATGGGTCTTGGGGGCACTGCTTTGCAGTGGCTCCACTCATTTCTGGAGGATCGTACACAGAAGGTGTTATTGGGGGACTCCTGTTCAACACCACAGCCTTTGACCTGTGGCGTTCCACAGGGTTCTATACTGTCCCCCATGCTGTTTAATATCTACATGAAGCCGCTGGGTGAGATCATCCGGAGTTTCGGGGTGCGGTGTCATCTGTACGCAGATGATGTCCAACTCTGTCACTCCTTTCCACCTGCTACTAAGGAGGCTGTCCAAGTCCTTAACCGGTGCTTGGCCGCTGTGACGGTCTGGATGAGGGCGAACAAATTGAAATTAAATCCAGACAAGACAGAGGTACTCCTGGTCAGTCGCAAGGCCGAACAGGGCATAGGGTTACAGCCTGTGCTGGACGGGGTCGCACTCCCCTTGAAGGCGCAGGTTCGCAGCTTGGGTGTGACCCTGGATTCATCTTTGAGCCTGGATCCCCAGGTTTCAGGGGTGACCAGGGGAGCATTTGCACAGCTTAGGCTCGTGCGCCAGCTGCGCCCGTACCTTGGGAAGTCTGACTTGGCCACGGTGGTACACGCTCTGGTCACATCCCGCCTTGACTACTGCAACGCTCTCTACGTGGGGCTGCCCTTGAAGACGGCCCGGAAGCTTCAGCTAGTCCAGCGCGCGGCAGCCATGTTACTAACGGGAGCAGGGACGCAGGGAGCACACAACGCCCTTGTTGTCCCAGCTCCACTGGCTGCCGATCTGCTACCGGGCCCAATTTAAGGTGCTGGTGTTATCCTACAAAGCCCTAAACGGTTCCGGCCCAAAATACCTATCGGACCGCATCTCGGCCTATGAGCCCACGAGGGCCTTAAGATCGTCTGGGGAGGCCCTTCTCTCGATCCCGCCTGCCTCACAGGCACGTCTGGCGGGGACGAGAGAAAGGGCCTTCTCGGTGGTGGCCCCCCGGCTGTGGAACACCCTCCCTGTTGACATCAGACAGGCGCCCTCCCTTTTGGCTTTCCGTAAGAGCCTAAAGACCTGGCTATTTGGAAAGGCATTTAATTGAGTGCTATACAAACGGGTAATGACAAGTGGAACGGAATACGGTCTATGAGATTGGCTATGATTCTATGTGTGACGACGCGGATTAGTTTAGTGTAAATTAGTTAGTGTGTATTAGTGAATTGCTGATTTTGTTGTGCTTTTTGTATACTGTTTTTATATGTTGTACACCGCCGCGAGTCGCCCTAGGGCTGAGAGCGGCGGTTAACAAATGCAATAAATAAATAATAAATAAATAAATATTCTCTGTTTGTTCTCTAGAGTTTATTGTGGAATAGGAAAGTGGCCAAGAGTCACAGTGGTGACATTTTGCTTTGGGCAGTTAGGAAACTGCTGGAACAATGATTTGGAGTAGAGGAAAGGAAGGGTCATCTTTTTTTAATCCCTGTTGCACCATTTGGGGGTAGTTTTATAGCTGTGTATTTGATTATGTGTCAGCTTTTGCCATCCCCCCACTCCCACCTCAAAATCCCAGCACTTTCCTTCTTATTATAACTAGCCTGAGAGGACCTGTAGAGAGAGAAAAATAAGCTGAATGTATTTGGCTGAGTGAATGATGAATATCCTCTTTCTTTATTTTCTTTCCAACTTTAGTGTTACAAAAGCTCCAAGCACCGACAGCCACACCTCGAGGTCCCTCTGGGTGTCTGCAATGTTGTCTATGTGCCAAAGGATGGACGCCGCAAGAAGCACGAGCTGCGCTTTTCTCTGCCAGGAGCGGAGGCCCTGGTGCTGGCTGTGCAGAGCAAAGAGCAGGCTGAGGAATGGCTAAAGGTATCTCTCTCAGCACCTCCATCAGAAGCAGTTTGGGGAAAAATAGCTCTCTTCCACCTCACTTTTTGGGCCATGCTGGATGAGAGATTCTGGGAATCACAGTCCCACAAAAGGAACTCCTCCAGTCTCTATCCAAGACAGCATAACATCCCACCCAAAGATACACACCCCAATCCCCACTTTCTCTATAGCTCTTCCTTTAGAAAACCCTCAATATCCCTTATACGGGCACTTTTCTCTGGCTCTGACCACTCGCTGAGGTGAGCAGAAGCAGCCAATTCCTGTAGGGGGCAAGGGAGGGAAAGAAAGCACTGTTATCTCTTTTTTCAGGGAGGGTTTTTTCCTACCACTTCTTATCTGTGTCTGCCTGACTACAAAACCAGCTGTGGAGAGGAAAAACCATTCAATAGGGCAGATCCATAGCATTTGCCACTCCTGCTATGGCTGACATTGCACCCGGATAGGGCAGTGGGAGGAAGTGTTTGCTTACCCACCCACCCCTGCTTTTTCCTGCTTTTGTTCTCAAGCAGCACAGGTTCAGTAGGAAGCTCTACTTGATGAAGTCATCAACTCAACAGTGTCAGGGAGAGATGGAATGTCAACATATTATATTATGTGATGTCATTTCTCTTCTTTCACCCCACATCCTTCTGTGACTAATTCCTCTTACCTGTTCAAAAGATAGGGATTTGTAAGTGCCAGTTGTTTTTCATTTTGATGCCTGACTTCTCAATATTCATCTCTTTCCTTCCATACTTTTTTCCTTTTTTGCAATGTGGAGCATGCCATATATGAAATGCTATTTCTTTCAGGAATGTGAGGTTGTGTCTATTGTGGAAGCAGAGAACTGTGTGCCCCAGTGAGTTGGGAATGGGTGTCGGGGAGGAGACAGGCTTCTCAGCACTAGTCTAGTGCACTTGTGTCCAAATAGGACTGAATTATTCCATCCAACTAATTTACTTGGAAAAAATGTTGAGAAGATGACAGCAAAGGGAGATAGGTGATTGTATACACTACCTTGAACTTGGTAGAAACAGGGATCATAAATTTAACCAGTCTAATCCCACTTGAGCAAATGTTTGCATTCTTTCATTCCATTTAATTCCCACTTTTCTTAATGTGGCTCAAAGTGGTATACATGGTTTTCTTTCCCCACTTTTATCTTCACTGTAACCCTGTGTGGTAAGCACAATGTCACCTCATATCCAAGGAAGATTTTGTTTGTGGGTCTCCCTGGTGCTTCTCTGATTCTCTTAGTTTCTTGTTTATTTGTTCAGTCACTTCCTACTCTTCTTGACCTCTTTGGTCCATGAGGCTCATGCCAGAGCTCCCTGTCAGCCGTCACCACTCGCAGCTCCTTCAGAGTCAAGCCAGTCATTACAAGGATGCTATCCATCCATCTTGCTTACTAAGATTCTCTTAGTAGTTAAAGTGAAAACCAAAATGGCAGAGCCATCTTTCACAGGTCAGCTTTCTTAATAGATAAGGGAAACAGTAGAAGGACTATGAATAATGAAAGAGCATGGCTCATAGGATCTCCGTGGAAGCAGATTGATGGGTCTCATCCAGCTCAGCTTTATGGCACAAATTAGAATTCTGTGTTCTTTGGCTTGAGTACTGTACCATTGGAAACATTTGCATTTAAATATCTCTGTTCCTCTCTGTTTTCAGGGTTTTCATCTCTTGTCCTTCATACATATTTCACTGATTGTAAGCACTCCCACACCTCTGGCCTGGGATGCAACTCAACTCCCTCAGAAAGTTAAATATCATTTGGAACTCTTCCAATTGACACTGTGGTGTATTGGCTCAACCCAGTCGTGCCTCTGTGAATTCATCTCCCTTAAAATAATACAACAGAACAGATAACTTTAATTAATGTAGGTTTGTTTTAGTCCTGAAGATAATCTGGTTATGAACATGACAAATAGGTGTGCTAAATAAGTTAAGGACATGCTGTTGTCCCATATTTCTAGTCCTGGCTGGAATCTCATTTAAAACAAAGCTAGTTTCAACATCCTCAGCCAGGGAATTGATGAAATAGTAATAGCCTTGTGTGAATTTTCTTTCCTCTTCTGGTGCTGACTAAAATAAATTGGGATAAAAGTGACTGTATATAGGACAAGAGTATTCATGTCTCAGACATTGCTTTATTTTCCAAATAGCAATCTAGGAAAGATTCTTTGCTGTGCACACTGACCTTGTCATGAGTGGGCAGGCTCCACAAAGTTGGCATCAACCTCATACCATGAAGGGATTAATAGTTATAGAGAATGTGTATTCCAGAATAGCTGGGAACCAGAAAACCAGAGGGGTGGCATCAGATGGTGATTAACGTCATCTTTTTTCAAATTGATAATGTCTCCTCCTTTTCTTGATGGGAAGATGCATGAGCAAACATTTTTACAAGAGCCTTGATTGTAACCGGGGAGATAGATCAGGGGGCAAATCCCCCCCCCATGTCAAATTTGAAGGGTAGGCAAGTACTTTGCAGGAGAGAAATGAAATAAAAATGGTGTCCCATCCATTCTGTGAGGTGCAAGGGAGTCACATTTGTGCCTTGGGGATGATAGTTATAGCAGAATGGTATTGAACCTTTTCCATGTCTTGACACTCTGTATTGTTTTACCACAGGTGATGAAGGAAGTGAGTAGTGGACAAAGTGGAACTGAAGTTGTGACATCGCCTATGCTTACATGCAAGATGGACCATGACAAGGTAGGATCTTTGTGTTTCATCTTGTCAAAGATCATCTCCAACCCACCCTCAGCCATAGGCCCCCCAAATTGGCTGTCTGTTAGGGCAAGGTCCAAATCCTGTTGCAAATAGCAGGTGATGGTGGGGATATTTTTAAGGACAGTAGCAGGGAGGTTTAAACACTTTTTTCTTACCCACATCCTCAATTACTGCTGCTATTTACATAATAGGGAAAATGTACACATTAAAGTCATCTTTAGTTTGACTCTTATTCATTCTGTTGTTACAGATTTGGTAAATAGATTCTGATACAAGAAGTAGAATCATATTTGCACAACAGTATATAAGAATTCATAATGAAAAAAAGAGCAAGGGAAGAGACCTTGCTCCTCCAATATAGTAGGGGTTTTTTTTGGGGGGGGGAGATATTCATTCTTGCTGTCATAGTTTGGAAAAATTACTTTTTGGACTAGAACTCTCAGAGCCCCTTACCCAGTATAGCTGCTGGCTGAGGGATACTGGGTATAGTAGTACAAAAAAGGAACCTATCTTCCTAGGTAACATTTTTTTAGAATTTCAGAAAGAGATGGACCAGAATCTGAGCCATCATTCCCTTTGGAAGCAAGGGGCACACAGGACTGTGAAGTGGGCTAGTTTCTCTGTCATTCTTGGTTCAGTTATAAAGGTTAAAAGCAATTAATGTTGGAAAAGTGGCTATAATAAAATGAGAAATAGAAAAAAAATTGGACTCTCACTTTTCTTTCCCGTATTCAGAGATCCTCTCAAGACAAACATACATCTGACTCTGATAGCGTGGCAACAACAGAAAACTGCTCTTCCATGACTCGGAGGGAGGCTCAGGAGCAAGGTGAGATCCCAGTATGGCTCCCATTTTCTAAGAGCATGGTGTAGGAGTGGTTGAGGCAGAAAGAAATGAACCACTGCAAGGAGAAGACAGTGTGGTGTAATTCCCCATCTGTCTCTTTCATTTCGAATTTCATTTTGGTATATTCTGATGGTCTTTTGGTGGGATGATTGGGAAGAGATCCTTATATTGCTCTGTGGCTCCTTGCTTGGTCAGAGAAACCACATTCTGATTTTACGTTCTGTTCTTTTACCTCTTAGGGAAAGGTAAAAAAAGTGGTTTGGCTGAGCTGAAGGGCTCTGTAAGTCGAGCAGCTGGGAGGAAAATTACCAGAATAATAAGCTTCTCCAAGAAGAAACCATCTCCTGAAGATACCCAAACATCCTCTACAGAGGAAGACATCCCATGCTGTGGTATGTACCAGGGAACCAGGAGGAAAGGAGAGGCAAGTTAGTTTTGAGTACCCAGATAAATAAGTAGATGGGGATGCAGGAGCCCTGTCCTTGCACCAGGCCACCATGACTGAAAGGGAAACTGTTTATTAGTAGGTTTCCTAAGAGGTGGTTCTTGGAATTCTTTGTCGTACTGTTCTGGTGCACCCCAAGTTGATAACAAAGAGACTAAGTACAGGAGCGCCCCACTTTCCAAAACCCCATAGTTGATCACACAATGCTCGCACTGTTGATGCCACCTCCATTTTCCCTCCTCCTTTCCACCATGAGACAAAGAGGCTCTATATGCAGGTATTTTTTTTCTACTTTACTCTCACCTCCACTGATATCCACATATTGTAAATGATCTGCTATTGACATTTTCTTTTTCTCATTTGAGGGCATGAATACTTTCTGGGTGAGATGGAGAAATATTATTCTGAATCTATTTTTAAGCATCTTTTGTAGAAAAAATAATTTAGGGGTACTTTCAGATAAGACTCTAAGTTTTTACTATGTGTGTAGTTGCCTTGCTTTATTCATGACTTTTTATAGTCATCCAGACAACATTGTCTTTCATTTGTAATTATCTTATGTTTTTCACTGCTGCTTCTGTCTTTTTTATCTCCAGTAAAATCTTGTAAGTAGTGAAAGACAGAATAGCTACACAGAACTTTTTGACCAGTGGCACTAAGAGCCCTCTGTCTGGAGCCCTCTTGGTGACCTCAGGCATACTCATTCAGGCAGGAATGTCTCAGGCAGGGAATATGTGGCTCACCAGATCTTGTTCAACTTCAATTCAAATTAGTCCCAACTATCACTACAAGTGTTCATGGAGTTAACCTGAGAAGTTCTGGAAGATGAATGTTTGTATGGTCATTGTCCGAGTGTTCAGTGAGAATGGCTGGAGCAGCAGTATCTGAGCTAAACACACTTGTATTGCTGATGTTCCAGAGGAAGGTACAACAGGTTCCAAGAACAGATGAACAGATTTACCTAAGAACAACCTTTAAGCTTTTGATATTTTCCTATCACTTGTCACGTGTTGCACTGCATTGCTTCCCTCCCCCCGTTTTTTGCAGGCTATTTGAATGTTCTGGTGAACCAGTGTTGGAAGGAACGGTGGTGTCGTTTGAAAGGCAACACACTTTATTTTCACAAGGACCGCACTGACTTGAGAACACACGTGAATGCCATTGCCCTAAGGGGCTGTGAGGTGGCACCAGGCCTGGGCCCCAAGCATCCCTTGGCTTTCCGCATCCTTCGCAATGGGCAAGAGGTCTCTGCTTTGGAAGTGAGTATTCATTCTTGATGACTCTGTTGAGAAATGAGAACTTTGGCAGTCCTCGGCATATCTACTGAGACGTATGTGTGCTACTGAATTTACTTATTTTTATGCATGTTTGCCTTGGATTATAGTCTTTGCTGGCCTTCCAGTAGGCACAGCCAGGGACCCCCTGAAACTTTAAAGAGTTTTCATAGCAATGCCTTGGATACAGGAAGAACTCATAATCCTATTGTGTGTTTAACTCAGATGTGAAATCCAATTGCTTGGAGTGATCATTATGACAAAGCATGCAATAAAGCAAAATGAATGATGTCACTATAGGTCACTGAATGAGGCTAGTGCATTTGTTTTTGACAGCCGGGTGAGATCTTAACACTGACATTCCTCACTAATCATATACAGTGTTTATTAATAGCAAAACAAGTAATTTCTCTTTCATCATCTTTGGAAAATGAATACATTTCTTTTTGCTTGTGTCATAAATTATTATGAAAAGATGAATGTGTCTACTGACACATATTTCTGTATGCAATGTCACTTCACTTGGAACTTAGCATGATCTGAGCAGATATTTAGACATGTAAAAACTAACACAGAAAAAAACTTCAAAATCAGGTAAGCATCGAGAAGGAGAAGACAGTGACTCAGAATGCTTCCAAGAAGGCTAAAACCAAAGATTTTAAACCTAAATATAGTTAGCTACTCTCTTCCTCAGTCTGAATGCTAGTAAATAAGTCTATTTAATCCTGAGTCAGCATGTAGATAAATTGGTCTACTCTAGTTGGGACTAAAATAGGGTCCAGCCCTTTTTATCACCTGCCTGCCTTGATTTCCCACACTTCTTGTAGTATAAGGTGACTCTTTGTTACATTATTATGAAAGCTTCCATGACAGAGGGAAGCTGCAAGAATTCTAGACCTACTTTTAACTCTTTCATGTATCACCATTGGGGAGGGATGGTGGGAGTCGTAACATCTAGAGGACCAGAGGTTGCTCATTCTTGAAATAAGCCTTCACCAGTTTCTTTAGAGGCATTTGAATAGCTGTTATGAGTATTGTATACTGTTAGAGCTTGAAAAAGTTACTTTTTAGGCTACAATTCTAAATCATATTATCTGGAAGATTCAAGGAACTATGCCCCCCCCCCTGCCCACACACACACAAACACACACCAAAAAAACCCTATTTCAAGTTCTGCATAGAAGATGCCTTGGACAGATTCCTCTGATTAATAGATAATAAACTGTAAATTTGGAAAAACAGAATTGTGAGGGTGGGGGGATAAAGGTCAATGGCTGCCTAAAGACATGGCCTTGACCATGTTTAATTGTCATAAAAGAGTAATTTTACTGATTTTCAGAGAAATGTGTGTTTCCTTTCCCTCTTAACAATTGTCTTAACTCCTCAGGCGAACAGCTATGAAGATCTGGGTCGCTGGCTTGGGCTGTTGCTAGTTGAAACTGGTTCCCAGACAGCTCCAGAGGCTTTGCACTATGATTATGTGGATGTGGAGAAAATAGCCAACATCATCAATGCTGTGAGGCACTCCTATATGTAAGGGCTCATCTTTTGTGATCTGGTAGGATGGGGGGAATGCTATGTGCATCTTGCCTGCTTGACCCTTTTGCCTTATACCTGAAAAAAGCTTCTATTCAACTTTCTGTGAATCCAATTTGCACCAGCCACCAATTTCCAATTATCTCTAAAACATAATCCAATCAAAGAAACAATCTGCAAAATTTGTATTTGAAAAGCTGAAGTGTAAGGCCACCAAGGGTAAAGAAGTTGTGAGAAGTAGGCTTTTAATCTAAGACATAACACACCTGTATTGATGACTTTCAGTTTTTATGGTTTGTGAAAATGTGGTGGGATCCTAATCCAGTTTTTTAAGAGTAACTGGGCATGCACACATCATCCTCGGATCTTCTTTGTGGGTTAATTACAGGTTTTTATGTCTAAAAAAAATACATGCCTAGTGAAACATTCTTGAATGCATGGAGTGGGAGTTTTTAAATCCTAAATTAGGGTGGTTACAGCAGAACTGTTCAGTACTATCTGTGTAACTTGAGGTGGAAATCATGCAATCCAAATCTTCCTGAACCCTCTTTCCCTTTCCCAAATTGCCAACTTAAAAAATACAGTGTGTTGTTGAAGGCTTTCATGGTCGGAATCACTGGGTTGCTGTGAGTTCTCCGTGCTATATGGCTATATTCTAGAAGCATTCTCTCATGACGTTTCACCCACATCTATGGTAGACATCTTCAGAGGTTCTGAGACCTCACAATCTCCGAGGATGTCTGCCACAGATGTGGGCAAAATATCAAGAGAGAATGCTTCTGAAACATGGCCATTCAGCCTGGAAAACTCACAACAACCCAGCAAAAATTTACAATTTTTAGAACTTCCATGAGTAGCAACTTCCCTTTAAACAAGTTTCACCTTTCCTTTTTAAATTATTAAATCCTGTTTTCCTTGAATTAAAAATGGTAATTTGATTACTTTCCATTTCCCCCCTGGATTTTGGGTTTTCGGGTACTCTGTGAAGCACCTGAAAAGCACCTGTGGATTTTGGGTTTTCAGGGGTGAGAAGCTAGCCTGCGGATCCCTGGAGGTCAGACAAAGGGTAGTTTCACATACAAAGCAGGAGATAGCCAAAATTTGCTGCGGACCCTGGAATCTCTCAGGCAGTCCAGTCCCCCTGACAAGTGTTATCCAAGAGATCAGGAGTGGCCATGTGTGTAGATGATAATAGAACAAAATCTGCCTGCCAACTAAAGGGAACTAAAATATGTGTTTCAATTCATTTTGTAAAGGCAGTAGGTAGAAAGACAAGTTTTTTCCTGCTTCTAAAGCTCTTCGGAATTATTTTGGCAAAAAAGTGCAATTTTGTCTGCTTCTTTGCTTTTCAGGTGGGCCAGCTCCTCTGTTGAGAACCAAGTGGACTCTTCCCGTGTGTTATATGATGAAGTACCATATGAGAAGGTGGAGGTATAAACTTTTTAAAATGCCATCTCCTCTTTGTTCTTTCATCATTGCCCTCTGACCCTGCTCTGTTTGCCATACACTTGGCAACCCATAGAAAACTATTTTCTGGGTTGAGGCAGTTGAATGAGCCGCTTTCACTTCTTGAGAAAATTTCTTACTCACACCTAGCAGCAATGTTTTTCATGATCTCATTGAAACATCAACTTATTTCTGCTTTTTTTGCTCCCAATATACAGTTGGAAAAGTCGGGGTGGCCTTCAGGAGCCCAGGTGAAACGCCATGGTTCCTCTTGCAGTGAGAAATCACGTCGTGTGGATCCACAAGTGAAAGTCAAGCGTCATGCTTCAAGTAGGTTGGAACATGCTCCAGCCACTTGTCATGGCTCCCTTATCAAACTGGTAGGCAGGGAACCAGATAGACTCAGAACTGCCATTGGGATGAGATGGTGTTTGCACTTACTTAGCAATTCCAATCCATTTTATTCTTGCTTGCTCATTTTTTGTGTTCCACTTCCTAATTAACAATGATTGTTTACACCTACAGTTGAACAGGAAATATCAGCCAAGATCCAAGAGAAGGCTTGCCAGAATGTATTGAGACCAATTTAATTTGTCATCCATACAATAGAGCTTACCCTTGTTCAATCTCATCATACTAATGCATGCCCGCAACGTGCATTTGTTATGGCACCCCCTCCCCTAGTCAAAGTGTGCAATAGGATGCATTTAAACAATGCCTTAAAGAAGCAAAGCCATTTACACAGCTATGATGGTAGAATTTCAGTAGCACAACCATAATCAGAATCCTCAAAAAATGCAAGTGTTTGTGTAAGAATCCTTATGTTGGCAGTATGTCACCACCAGGACTCTAGATCTAATTTACAAACCAGATCAAAAGTTTGTATGTGTTCAAGCACAACACTACCAATTCTCTTTTGTAGCAGTTGCTGATTCTTAAACAGGCCTCAGGCATCTTAGTGTGGCTAAAAGAATAAAGAACATATTTCAGAGGTAGACTGTGTTGTTTTCGATTCAGCAAATCCCAGATTTGGTTTTTGCCACCTCCATATAGGGCTGAGGAATAACACCTGCTTGAAATCCTAGTGAGCTGCAACCAGTCAGTGTAGAGCTATAAAGCCAAATGGACCAATAGATTGCGTCCATGTGAGACAGCTCTGAGCACCTGCCTCCATTCACCTGCCCACATTCACTTGCAGAAAGAGGGGAAAGCTTAGCATGACATGAGGTATTCCAATAGTATCACTTATTTGAAAGCACTCTTTTTTTAATATGTTTGATTTTGTTTGCAAAGCACACTGCAGCCCTATGAATGTTTACACAAAAGCATAAAACATATTAAGTTCAATGGATTTTATTATACCCAAATGAAACAGCAGAAGGTCTCCATTCTGAGAAGAATTTTCTTCTCAGCTTTAAAATATGTGACAAAGGCTACATCCAGACCTCAACCTCGCCAGAAAAAATAATAATGAATAATGGTTTGCCTGCCAAACTTCAGTGGCAGACTGCTAACAAGCACTACAGTGCAGTTGACCAACAATAACCTTAAACCAAAGAAGAAGCCTTTTGTTTGCAACATTGGTTTTGCAGGCATTTCAAAGTCTAGCAACTAATTGCTATTGTTTTTATTGACCCTGTTACCAATTCTTTCCTACTCTGCCATTACTAATCTTATTTGATTTAAAATTAAGACGTATTCCATCATTAATTGAGTTGAATTATTTTAATCCTAATTAATAGCATCTCACATTTCTAGTTTCTCACCTTTCTCCACACTATAATCAATGCAATAGTATTTCATGTATTAAAAGAAATCAAACTTTTCAAATAATTAATCAATGTATTGTCAAAGGCTTTCATGGCCAGAATCAGTGGGTTGTTGTAAGTTTTTTGGGCTGTATGGCCATGTTCCAGAAGCATTCTCTCCTGACATTTCACCTGCATCTATGGCAGACATCCTCAGAGGTTGTGAGGATGCCTGCCATAGATGCAGGCAAAACGTTAGGAGAGAATGCTTCTGGAAAATGGCCATACAGCTCAAAAAAACTTACAACAACCCAATTAATCAATTCTTAAACAGTGAAGGATGTTATTTCTTAATAGTAATCTTGTTGTAATAGAATAACACATTTTACACATTGAACTTTAATTTTCAATGTGGGATTATTTGTCGATTGTATCTATTCTGCCATCAACCCCAATGTCCTAAGCTTTGCCAACTCAGGCAGTCAACTCCCTGGAAAAATAGCCCTTGGGCCCACAGAAATGGCTTGCCCCCACTTGTGGGGTGTATTGATTTGAGCAGAAACCAGAATTTGAATCCCCAATCCGTCATAGAAATCCACTGGGTTATTTTTGGCAAGTGATACCCTCTCAACCTTAGAGGAAGGCAAAAACAAACCTCCTTCAAAGAAATTTGCCAAGAAAATCTTGTGGTAGTGTACCCTAAAACAGCAATGACTTGAAGGCACGCAGTAATATTGAACACTTCAAGAATTTCTTATCATGTTCCAGGAATGCTAGATTAAGAACATCTTAGATTTATAAACCAGTTTAAGCTCCACCGAGCTGTTGAATTATATTAGAACTCTGCCCTCCACATATTTATGCTGTTAAAACACAAGCAGTTGCTTAATAGCTACAGATCTTATCAGTGATATAAATAGTTCAGAATGATTGTACAAGGATGCTAAGCTTTGCTCGAAGTCTGAATGTGTTGTTGTGCCCTCTCCCCCCCATAGGCCATTTCCGGAAGTTCAACTGGGAGAACATGTAGCTTTGGTCTTAACAATTTAGTACAGTCCCATTTTAAGTCTTCAAACCAGTATTGAGCTTGTTCCACCCTGACTCTGTCTAAATCTTTCTGCTGCCAAGACAGAACTAGACAACCTTCCCACCTCAAGTGCCTAATGGAGGGATGTGAAGGCATCTCATTTTGTGTGTGTGCCCACAGATGCCAATAACTACAAGTATGGCAAGAATCGGGCTGAGGAAGATGCCAGGAGGTTCCTGACTGAAAAGGACAAACTGGAGAAGGAGAAAGCATCCATCCGGACTGAGATTATGGATCTACGCAAGGAAAAGCGGGAACTACGGGAAGCCATGAAGAGCAGCTCAGGTATGGTCGTGCTGCACAGGTGGTGGCACTATTAAGGTCTGCAACTTGCTGGGCTCTACAATCCTGCTGTGAATGTGGCAGGATCCAGAAGTCTTTGGGGCCCAGGGGCTGGACCTGCCATTCTACAGTGAAGCTGTAGCACAGGCAGCAAATGCTGGCAGACAGCTGCTTACTCTTAAGCTACTTTCTTTTCTCTTGGAAGAACTGTGGGCCCCATTAAGTATATCCTGCACTCTAAATTGTTGAGGTAAAATTCAACTGCTGCGGATACAGTTGGATTCTATATATGGAGTAGAGAGGATCCCTATGTTCTTTGCCTTAGTCAAGTTTCTTGGGCTGACCCTGATGGCATCAGACTCAAAAGTGTCCACAGCTAATAGATGCCTCTTTTGCTTCATTCTTCACAAAACACACACAGAGAAAAGACATTTGCATCCAGGCTTTGTCCCTCCCCAAAGTTTTTCTTTAGCTTTGTAACTGGGGAAACAGACAGAACAGAGTAAGTAATTCCAAAAATCTGCAATCATGGGGGAGCCGGCCTGCAGAGATCAGGGATTTAGAAATTATCCTTCTGCCAAAGCAATGGTTTATTCTCCCACTCTAGAACAATTTTGCACAAACATTTCAGTTTGGAGTTGTATTTACATATAAAGTCAAATACAGCACTGCTTCTGTGGTGGCATCTGTTGACATCCCTTTCCTCTTCTCCCACAATTCTTCACTGTGAAAGGGTAGGAGTAATAATAATGATAGCTAAGATACAAGCTATTTCTTGCAAAACATTTACCTCTACATCTGTGTCACATCCACCGTTTGGCTTTGCTTAGTCTTCAGCACTTACTGTTATGAGCTAGATACACACCTCATATCTACCAGGCACTGCTAACTCAGCATAGGTTCAGATTGGTCACAGAGACAGTAGGTAGGCAACCAGGTCAAAGAGTGCCATCTACTGGAAAAGACAATCCAGTTTGAATTACATGGCAGATTGCTGGAAAAATCTGGGTCTATTTAAACCTCACTAGTTTCATTAGATTGTGGATAGCATGCAAAACATAAGCGTTAGTCTAGTTCATAGACTTTTTGATGCTTGAAAGAAGCCTAAAACACACAGAATATTAATCCAATTTAAGATTCCTTTCATTATCAGTGTAGTATGGAAGGACTAAAATTTACATTATTTTTTCTTTGCTTTTGCTAATTTATTGTGTCCCTCAGCTGTTATTCTCCTTTCACCTCTGCTCTGAGTTTACAGCCACATGGTAGTTATGGATAACTTAGTATCACAGTGGTCTGTAACCTTCTTTGAAGAGTAGTCATGAACTACTTTGAAAATCTGGTGAAAGCTGTGGTTCCTTTCTATAGAAGTGGAAATCTGCCCACAGGCAAATAATTTTCATACCAGTTTTCAATGAACAGGAGAGAAATGAAAAGGGAAAAAACTATATTTTTAACACCTGGTACACTGAACCCCTGAAGTCCTTCCATGAACAACAGGTTAAGAGCTCCTGATCTAGAACGGTAGTTCCTAAATGTGGATCTCCAGATGTTGTTGAACATCTATTCCCTTAATACCTGAACTTCAGCCGTATTGGCTGGGAATTTTTAGAACTAAAGTCCAACAGCATCTGAACTCCCAGGTTTGGAAACACAGATGTGATGGCTTTTCCTAATATTAATCTTAAATCTACCTTGTTAAAACTCACACTCAAGTGATGTAGTCCTGCTGACTTCAACAGTAGAGAAAACTTATTTGCCCTCTCCTGAAGAAATTTGTAGTCTCAAATTAGGGCCACTTAAAAGTGGGGTGGTTTTCTTCATAATTTTTCTCATGAATTATTCTATATTGTCATGCTGGGAAACAGGTAAAGATCTCAAAGAGCTGGAGCAGCGTGTTGCAGCCCTGGAGGAGCAGTGTAAAGCCAATGAGGCACGGCGTGTGGACCTAGAGCTCAAGCTGACTGAGGTGAAAGACAGGCTGAAGCAGTCTCTGGCAGGAGGACCAGCTTTGGGGTTAACTGTGACAACCAAATCTGAAAACAAGGTAAAACATTAGAGAGAAAAGAAGTATTCTCTCTCCTAGCTTCACATGGGAGGCATTTCAATATAAAATGGTTTCCTATAGAAGTACAGAACAAAAATGGGTAGGTAGCCATGAATATCTATGCCTTGACAGCCCACATTGTGGGAAGGTGATAAGCAGGAAAAGATCCAAGGGGAATTTCAGCTTTTTGCGCATCCTACGTGGAAACAGAAGTCAATAGGAAGGGACCTGGAACAAGTGAAACCATCTGAAGCACACCTTGGATTGAGAAGATATTTAGGGATTACAAGTGCAAATAAGGACACAACAGGCCTGCTCAGAAGAGAAAGATGGAGGAAAAGCCAAACCCTGTTCTGAATGTTGTTGAGGTTGTGGCTGTATATTACAAATGAACTGACATAACCTTTGCTGTTTCATCACCGAGCAGAAAAAGGGTGTTACTTGAGCTAATGGAGATAGTCAGAACTACTCCCAAGATTTGAAAAGAACTGTTTATCTTTTGCAATCCTAAACCAACCATGGTCTTTCTTTCCATTGATATTAGGATGGCAGCATTTCTTATAACACAGTATTTTGCCATCTCACATGGAGCCAGTTTAAATAGAGAAAATAGAAGTAGTAAAAGGTTCCGCATTCTAATTTCCCCCAATCTCTAAAAGACGCTTTCCATCTTGTGTTGTAATGGTTATGGAACATGACCTTTTCTAAATTTGTTTTATCTAAATTTGTCTCAACCCTACACCTTTTGATAAACTCTACAAGCCATCTGGCATTGCCCCTTGGGATGTGCGATGGGAAGTTGCTGCTAATTGTGAGAGAAATAAAGTTGAACACTGTGAAAGCCATCCACTGCATGGCTTTCAGCCTCCTCCCAGTAGACTCAAATCAAGGAAAAGTTTCATGAGAACCAACCACCACTCCTCTTAACATTCCCCCAGCAACATCAAGTGTATTCCTCTGGGCAGCTAAACCAGGAAGTCCCAAATGGATGGCCCCACACGAGGGTCTGCCTCCAGGGGCAAACCAAGAATGGACAACTTGAAAATCCCTGAATAGATTCAGAAGCAGAGGGGACAGATCAAAAGACAACCTGGCAAAATGGCACTACCTAGAAGAATCCTCCACCTTGTGCAACTGTGGAGCAGAACAAACAACTCCACATCTGTATGCTTGTCCACAATGCCCTGCCTCATACATAGAGGAAGAACAGTTTAAAGCTATAGACAATGTGGTCGCTGTTGCCCATTTTTGGTCAAAAATTATTTAGCTGCTTGTGCTCCGTCTATTTTAATCAGTTTTATACTAATTTATGCAATACTGTTGACACAAAATTAAAACATCTAAATTTGTTCATACTGTGAATAGGGTGCTACATGTTAAAAAGAACAGAACTTTTAACTGATGAATGGAGTGGGACATTTTTGCAAGTGTGGTTGAATAAATGCACATAACTAGTGATACCTTTCAGAATTCCATTTCCACATAGTTGTTAAAGGTCTGAGTAGCATAATTTCTTTTCTTTTTTAAATTTTTTTTTACCATACTAGATGTGAATAGGATAATTTCATCCTGGTTTCCAAACATGGTATAAATGTCTGAGTTGGTAGAGAAGAAAGCAAAACAGAAATGAAAATCTCATCCAGAGTAAAACTAGCTAAAGGGTAAACTTGTCAGGTTAAACTCAGGAAAGGGCTCCTGAAGCTTTACTGGATTATCAAGAACAATGTACCATAAAGTTCCCTCAGGACAAAGGTGTACAATCCTGCTCTTGTGGCCATACCCATTGGGGAGCTGTATCAGAAGGAGATGGCTGCAACTCAAAGTTGGAGAAGGTGAGGAAGGAGAGATACCTTCATCACGCTTCACATAGTTTTATAGTACCTCATCTTACTAGAAAATGTTAGGGCTACCAGAGCCCCTTCCTGGATGCAGTGTAGCAAAACTATTAAAATGGCCAGGGAAAGAATAAAATTAGAGCAACATAAGAATAATCTTAATTTAGTAAGTGTCTTTAAGGGCCTAGGAGAACAAAGAGATATTTTCATGCTGCTATAAAAACATCCAGGTAATGCCAGGCAAGTCTCTCTGAGATAAGAGCATTCCAAGGGGAAGACACTATGACTGACAAGATATTCCTGTTGCTTTCCACATACCTAGCTTTATAAGGCAGGAAAGGGTTATAGCAATTTTCACCTTCAAGAAGATACATGTGTGAGGAACCAAAGCTTTTCCTACTGCCTATGTTCCTCATGTTATTAATTGATAATTTGGTGTCTCCCCCAAGTCTCTAAATACTTACTACTATTTTATGTTTCCTCCTTTCAGGATGCAGCAGTCCAGCCAAATGGAAACCCTCCAGAGCACTTGGTCCCAGTTAACTGTGCAGCAGAAATGAGAAAACGGAGTCCTTCCCTCCTCCCTGCCAATAAAGGGAATGTGTTGCAGAAGGCCAAGGTACCTGCCGTGACCTCTTCCCATCTTTCTTATTTATGTCCAAAATTCCCTACTTCCGTGATGATGTAGAAATGAACTAATATTATTCAGAAATAGGGCATGTTCAGACTTAGGTGTTCTAGGGGTATCTTGGTTTCAAAACTAAGTTTCTAGCCCACATGTTTACTGGGGAGGAAAATAATAAAAGAATGGCAGAGTCTTCCAAAGACTCAAAGCTAGTTTGTCTGGCAGAGTGAGGCAGCTGGGGTTGGAGCAGGAAGCAACAACAGAAGTTGTACATACCTACATACCCCACTTGCTTTTTGTCCTCACAAGGCTTCTTCTGGCTGACACACACACACACACACACACACATGCCTACACCATGCAGCAACCCAGTCCAACCCCCTGCCATGCCGAAAAAGCACAATCAAAGCACCCCCAATAGATGGCCATCCAGCCTCTGCTTAAAAGCCTCCAAAGAAGGAACCTCCACCACACTCCAGGGAAGAGAGTTCCACTACTGACCAGCTCTTACCATCAGGAAGTTCTTCCTAATGTTCAGCTGTAATCTCCTTTCTTGTAATTTGGACCCATAGCTCTGAGTTCTATTCTCCAGGACAGTAGAAAACAAGCCTACTCTTTCTTTCACATATTTATACATGACTATCATGTCTCCTCTCACCCTGCTCTTCTGCAAGCTAAACAGACCCAGCTCTTTAAGATGCTCCTCACAGGCCATGGTCTTCAGACCTTTGGTCATTTTAGTTGCCCTCTTCTATACACCTTCCAGCTTGTCAATATCTCTTTTAAATTGTGGTGCCCAGAATTAGACACTGTATTCCAGGTGAGGTCTAACCACAGCAGAATAGAATAGGGGCTCTCCAGATGCTTTCCATAATCCCTAGCTAGTCAATAGTGGCCAATAGTGAAGGTTAATGAGTACTGGGGATCAACAACATCTGGAGATTCACTAATTTCCCATCCTAGTCTACTAGGATCAGGATTCAGAATTCTGTTTTCCTTCCTTTATTACCCTTCAAGATAAATAGTATACTTCTTTGCATATCCTTTGCATCATTGGAATTCCAGTAATCTTACATTTCATTCTGTCTAGGAATGGGAAATGAAGAAAACATAAAATCTCACTGGGTCCCATATCCCTGAGTGGAACTCCTATGAAACACTGGGACACATTTAGGAAAGGGCTATGCAAGAGCGTTTTCATGCCTCGAGGAAACTGCAGAAGGATGATGAGGAACCTGGCTCTTCAGCAGGAATCCACCCTCCAGTGAATGAAGGATTAACAAACATGGGCTTTGGTGAACTGGTGTGGGTAAACTGGGGAGGGAGGGATTTCGGGAAGGAGGGTGGGCAAGGGAAATCCTTTTAAGGATTTTTAAAAACGTGTGTTCTCAGAATACCCTCCTTTGGGCACTTCTAATAGGTCTGGAGTGCCAGCTGTCTGGACTCGATCAGTTTTGCTCTTTAGTAACAAAGCTACAAGAGAATGTCTACTTTGGTCTAGCAAGAGTGGTGTCGATGATGATGGGGTGGTTTTGAGATCCTTATTCAAGTTAATCAATGACTTTGAACAAACCACCCTTTAACTTCTATGCTGCAGTTCCTCTTACATTTGAGGGCAGGTGAGCATCCCTCACTCCTGGGAAATAAGGCATGGCACAAAGTGCCTTGTAGTCAGTTCTCTGAAAGGATGCTGTTTACTGCCATTTCACTGTCCTGCTTGTCTGCCAAACTACATCAGAGCAGGGCACACTGAAGGACTGATGAGAAAGAAAACACTGTCAACATGGTGCTTTGTTTAAAATCTCAGGACTGCCAGTACTGACCTGGGCTAGGAGTAGTCTGTCAGCTTTCATAGCTTCACTCAGGCTGCTATGTAATATTTTAACTTGTCAGATCAAATCAATAGCTAGGCAAGGTCATGAAGTATTCTTTTTTTCACCTCCATGAGAAACCTATAGAAGTTTTCTTCTGCCAGGCTACTACTATAGTCTATTTGTCCACTCTTTGTCTCCAGAGCTGGACTCCCATTTGCAATGACAGGTGGAAAAGGACAGTGAACAGACAGACAGATTGTAAGAAAGCAGTTTCTGCAAACTGTTTCCAACCTCCAGAGTTATTCTCTAAGAGGGCACAACTTTAGGTCATCGGAGCAGCTCCTGTAGTTTTTTTCCTCTGTGAGACAGCCCTGCAAGACACTTGAAGCAAATGTGATCAGTGTTAACGTTCCTATCACCTCAAGTGCACATACAATAAATAACAGACATGTTATACTATCATTTCCGTCTTATAAAACCACACTCTAATAAGGGCAATGGGTGTATATTTTTAGGCTTTGCAAGGTGTCTACCTGCCTTCATGTATATACAATCTCTGGTCACTTGCAGAGAATGTGAAGAGAAAACCTGAGGCCTGAAGAAGAGGGCCCAAGTCAAAGCCATAATGACCATCTCCAACTATCCTCCTGCTGTGCCAATTTCCAACAGACCAGAAGCTGTAGTGACCCATTTTTCTTTTATAGGGGGAGGTGGGTGGGGTTCTTGTCTCTCTCCAGATGCATATTGTGGCATACTTTTTTATTATTTAAGAATTGTCTGCACTTTAAGATCTGGACCCTCTCCCTCTGCTGCCCCCCCCCCCCCAAAATAAAAGATGGTCTTTGTAGTGAGCTGTATGTTTTCTTTTGTTCTTATTTTTCTTCTTCTAACATCTACAACCTTTGATTGTTGACACATGGTGGAGAACAAAGTGTCTTGTGCTTTTATTTGGCATCATAACCTTCTGTGGACTCTAGCCCACTTCACCAGATGCAAGTAGTATGAAGTTCACAAAGGCTTATGCTAAATACAAATTGTTTGTCTTTAACATGCCATAACACTTTATTGTTGTTGTTGCAACAGAATAATACATGTCCTAGAATTATGTAATGACCCATCTACTAATTATTGCATTTATTCATTTAGATTATTTATATCCCATACTTCAGCCAAGGCTCCCAAAGCATCTTACAAAACTGATTTGACAGTTCCCTGCTCTCAGGCATGCACTCTTAATTAAAAACCAACATATAAGGAAAAGGGAATAACAATGGAGTAGATTAAGTTCTGCAGATACTATGTACTTGTTCTTCCCCTGCTGGGGCTGAGACATGGCTAAGCCAAGCCTACCTAGTCTTTCTTTCTTGAGACCATCTGGCATGGAGGGAACTACTGAGGCATGTGCCTTTTTTATATTTATACATACCTACATATACAAGTTATTTTTCTTTTAGGAGTGACTAAGATATATAGACACAACTAAACTATCCCCCATGCATGAGCCTCCAGTTCTTGAGGCAAGAGGTCTTTGGCTCTCCCGGCATTTGGACTTCACTTCCACTCAGCCCCAGGTAACACAGGTCAATGTGGTAGTTGTAGTCCAAGAGCTCAAGGTTTCCCCATTTCTTGGCTCCACAAAGAGAACTATTTCGGCTCTGAAATCACTTGAAAGAGCAACATTCTTATTTCCAAACTGGCCTAAACTTAAGACAAACTCACGACCCATCCCGAGATATGGCATTATCTGTAACCAGTTTGGGGTAGGTAAAATAGTAACATCTCTATTTGTATGGAAGTCAACTCCTTAACTGTATATTTATTTAAGATGCAAATGTCACTGATTTCAAAGAAAGCTTACTTTAAGTGCCAAGATCCTAAGTTGCTGTGTAATGCCACAATACTGAGTTTCTAGGTGGTGGTGCAACGGGTTAAACTGCTGAGCTGCTGAATTTTCTGACCGAAAGGTTGACAGTTTGAATCCAGTTAGCAGGATGAGCTCCCACTGTTAGCCCAGCTTCTGTCAACCTAGCAGTTTGAACCATGCAAATGTGAGTAGATCAATATGTACCATCTCGGTGGGAAGGTAACAACACTTCATGCAGTCATGCCGGCCACATGACCTTGGAGGTGTCTACGGACAACACCAGCTCTTTGGCTTAGAAATGGAGATGAACACCACTTCCAGACTAGACTTAATGTCAGGGGAAACCTTTACCTTTACCTTCGGTTGGCAAACAAGTGGAAGATTATGGATGAGGACTGCTGTGTATGAAAGAGGTGTGAGGAAGGAACATTTAAGATATGCAGATGACACCATAATTCTAGCAGAAATAACAAAGACTAGGAAGGATTACTGACGGAATCAAGGAAGATTGTGCAAAGGCAAACTTAAGCCAAAATAATCACAGACAGTTTTCATAATTGTGAAGTAGAGATTAAGACATTGAAATAGTGAAGAGTTTTCCATATCTTGCCTCAGTCAATAATCAGAATGGAGATTGCAGTCAAAGGATTCAGAAAAAGACAAGGGTTTGAAAGGGCAGCTATGAAAGCATTAGACAAGATCCTGAAGTTTCAAGATATATTAATACTAAAGTTAGGATTGTCTATGCCAAATCAAGCCTAAAGCCGCAGAAATTGACGTTACTAAATTGAGACAATTCATGAGAGATGGCTCCCTAGAAAAGACAATAATTCCTTTTTAAGTTAGAAGTCAATAGGAAAAGAGAAAGACTGCATTCCAGACGCAATCAAGGAATCCACAGCCCAAACTGCAAAATCTGAGTAGTGCTATGGTAGCTTGGAGTTTGCTTATTCAGAGAGTTGCCATAATTTAAATAATGTAATGGCAGTTTATAACCATAAAAATGGCTATGCAGTCACTTTGATGAATTGTAGCATTGTGTCTCTGATGAGATCTTTGTGCTGGCAGCCTGCACAGGGTTAGTGCTACAATGCCAGCTATGAAGTCCAGTGCTCCAGTACAGGGGTGTGCATAAAACCGGTTCATATGACATGAGAAAATAGACAAGGAGGAATAAATTATCAGCTGTACAGGAAAGTAGGGCAGAACTCTCTGGAAACAAAAAGGTAAGTTCAAATCTTTCAGACCTCTGTTGAGATTTTCCTGTTTTTTTCAGGCAGCACTATTGGTTGTGCCAAGTAATGACAATAAGGCATTGTTGGCAACCTATGACTGGATGCCATATATGCCACTTACAGTATAATTTCGTTCTTACCAGTGCCTTTTAAAAGTTGTAATGCCATCTCAGCATCTAGGCCAGTATCGAACAGTCCAACTGAGAATGAAGACATAACTTCCTCAGCACAAGCCACTGAGCAATGCTACCATGTCCCCCAGCTGACCCATAGTATTGGGCAAGAGGGTTTGCAATGTGTGGGTTCGCAAGTGAAACTTGCTAAAACCATAAGACTGGTGTAGTTCTGACTTAGTGTGTCACCATGCATAGTCACTTCCTCCTAAAATTATGACATGCTTTCTCTCATTCTCCCTTCTTCTATGCTTCCACTTCCTTTACCCTAAAAAGGCAATTTGTCCTAAAACAGGGTTGTGAGACAACCTCTTGAGGATGCCTGTCATAGATGCAGGTGAAATGTCAGGAGAGAATGCTTCTGGAACATGGCCATTCAGCCCAAAAAAATTACAACAACCCACTGAATCTTGGAAACACAATGAAGAAAAATAATAAAATTTGTTTTAGACAATTGATTTATTTAAATATAGTTAAATTTTAAAGCATAGTGAGCAAACATTTTGTTTTTCCCTCATCGGGGTGTTAAAGAATGATATTGTAGTCCCAATTCAAGGTGCAGGTGCTCACCTACAAAGCCCTAAACGGTTTGGGGCCCACCTACCTGTGTGACCGCATCTCTGTGTACGAACCCACACAATCTCTTCAATCATCTGGAGAGGCCTTGCTCACACTTCCACCACCATTGCAAGCGCGATTGGTGGGGACGAGGGAGGGAGCCTTCTTGGTGGTGGCCCCTCGACTCTGGAACTCACTCCCCAGGGACATTAGGCAAGCCCCATCTCTGGCAATCTTTAGGAGGAGCCTGAAAACGTGGCTGTTTCAGTGTGCCTTCCCAAAATAAGGAAACTCCCAGCAATATGTCCTTAAACGCACTTTAATAATGATTTTAGATTGTCTGCACATTCTTCCCTCTCCAAAACCTCTATCCCAAATACATGTTACCTGTTCATGCCCAGCATTATTTTTAAAATTTTAATTATTACATTTGGCCCAGCCATAGGTTTTTTAATGTGTCGTGTTATTGTTATTGTTTTTTGCTTATGAGTTTATGTATTGTTTTTGTATTATTGCTGTTATTGTTTATTGCTGTATTGTGGGCTTGGCCTCATGTAAGCTGCACCGAGTCCCTCGGGAGATGGTAGCGGGGTACAAATAAAGTGTTCTTATATTATTAAATTCTGAATGGTTACAGAGTTTAAAACTGGTTCCCAACCTGTGGTCCATGGACCACCAGTGGTCTGCAAGAACTAAAATATGGTCAGCGGCCCCACCATTACTACACTGTTGCAACAAGAGTGACTGGTCTTACGAAACCCTCTTATAGTGCCAAAGCTTATTAATAATGGTTTTCTGTGGGCGAACAGATGGCAACTACTGGATGGCATGTGTTCTGTATCAGAAGCGAGAGCTGATATGGTCTCCAATGCAATTTTCTGAATCAGCACCCCAAATAACCAAATGGAATCTGAAGTTGACCAAAAACTGATTCACAACCCTTTTAGTACTAATGTTGGAGAGTGGTCCCTGGTCAAAGTGGTCCCTGGTCAAAAAAAGGTTGGGAACTACTGGTTTAAAAGGACTAGAAGTTTGACAACAACACTGAATTAAGCTCAGTTAGTTCCTTTGCAGGTTACAGGGAACCCTCGACTGCTGTAAGAAATACTAGGAGTAGTTTCTACATCTAGGGCTAGAAAGTATTAGCAAAGTGAGGCAGGTGCTGGGAAGGCACAGTAGCAGTGCTCTTCTGAGGGGGCATCTGAACTGGGGAATTGATGCAGTTTCACACCACTAACTGCCATTGCTCAGTGCTATGGTGTCCTAGGATTTGTAGTTTGATGAGGCACCAGCATGCATTGGCAGAGAAGAATGAAGACCTTGTAAAACTACAATTCCCATGATTCCATAGGCTTGAGCTGTGGCCGTTAATGGTATCAAACTGCATCACTGCCACAGCATAGATGCATTCTTTGTCCTTTGTTCCTTTTCCCCACAGGTCACACAGATTACCTTACACCAGGTAAACTAGTTTACGGCCCACAAGGGTGGCATACACTGATTTACTGGCATGGATAAAGTGAGATTCAACAGCTTTGAACTGGATGATCTGGGTCTACAATACACTGTCATATAATCCAGTTCAATGCGGTTAATTTGCATTGGACTGGGCTGGACTGCGCTGTGGTGCAGCTAGTTAGTGGCCAGCTGCATTAAATCACTACTGACCAAGAGGTAATGAGTTTGAAGCTAGCCCGGGTCGGAGTGAGCTCCCGACCATTAATAGTCTAGCTTGCTGTCGACCTATGCAGCCTGAAAGACAGTTGCATTGGTCAAGTAGGAAATTTATGCAGGGAGTGTTGCACTCCAGAACAGGAATAACCCTCTGACTTCAAAACACCACACATTGAGTAGGAAAACAATCTTGTTTTATTGAAGATAAGTAAAAGCAGCAAGGTAAGAAAAAAACCACTTTAAGAGAATAGGTAAATCCAATTAGTTAGGAAGATAAGCAGGAACCAAGTATTCCAAAGTAGGGTTCAACAAAGTTCAAAGACAAAGTCCAGACTTCTCTAATAAAATTTAAAGAATCAGGAAAACATTGATCCGAAGCATGAGTATATAATCACAAGAGACAAAGAGTCAACCCATAATCATGAAATCCCTAAACATGAATCTTCCAAGCTAGGCTTCCATAAGACAAGAGTAAGAACTTAGCAGGATTCTGAAACGATGCTTCATCACTTGACTATATTTCCCCACATGTAATGCACCTTGATCTTGAAACACAAACACAGGCTGAACTCCAACAGGGAGGCTGATTTAACTCATTTATGACGCCATCAAAATCTCCAGCAGCATGCAAAAGAATGAGGAATACTCCATCAAACAACTCGGTGTCACAAGTAGACAGTGAAGCGACAGCTCCCCCGGTGGCTGGAATCGAGAATACCCTCATGAAGCCGGAAAGCTGGAATGTTAAATTTCTTCTGTGTCTGTCTATATATATTGTGTGTCTAATGCCACTGAATGTTTGCCATGTATGTGTGCATTGTAGTCCGCCCTACTGAGATTCCATCTGAACATTAGGAAGAACTTCCTGACTGTGAGAGCTGTTCAGCAGTGGAACTCTCTGCCTCGGAGTGTGGTGGAGGCCCCTTCTTTGGAAGCTTTTAAACAGAGGCTGGATGGCCATCTGTCGGGGGTGCTTTGAATGCAATCTTCCTGCTTCTTGGCAGGGGGTTGGACTGGATGGCCCATGAGGTCTCTTCCAACTCTATGATTTTATAGTGTAAATCAATAAATAATCTCCATTTAGAATCTGGATTGCATGGCAGTGTTGATGAGGCCAATCTTTCTTTCCTCCCTCTTCCCTTTTTTTCCTTCACCCAGCTCCCATCCCTCCTCCCCCTCCTTGGAGTTTTCCTGGCGCGGGGGCCGTCGGGACCCGCCCACTCATTCAGCCTCCTCCGAGGGCGCGTTGCCTGCCGGGACTTGTAGGCGGGGCGGGCTTTTCTTTCCTCCTCGTCCTCCTCCTGCTGCTGCTTCTACTACTCCTACTCTGATGGCGGCGGGCAGCTCGGCTCGGGCAGCACGGCGTTGCTTCAGCCCGTTGCTTCAGCGCGGCCCGCACCCGCTCCGCTGCGGCAGGTAGGGCTTCCTTGGGGAAGGGTCTTCTTCCCCATTCCCTCATTCCTTTCCTTGGGCTGCCTAGTGGCGGGTCTGCCCCCCTTTCCCTTCCTTTCCCCTCCTTTGTGGCTCCTGCGCCCAGAGCGCGGGGTCACGCGAGGACACACCTCCCTCGGCGGCGCACGCGCCTGCCTCCAGGGCTGAAGCAAGGCTTCCCCTGCAGCAGCCCAAGCTCCTCGGTCTCTGCCCAAGGCAAGCTGCAACCCTCGCCATTCCATTGCACGGAGCTCCCAGACCGCGTTCATTTCTGCAGCGTGGATGCACCCTCTTGTCATCTCACGTCCCTCTCCAATCATCAGTTGTTTTGATATTCCAAAAAAGGGGTGGAAATTGTCACATGAGGGAGGAAATAAGTATTGTCGAAGGCTTTCATAGCCGGAATCACTGGATTGTTGTAGGTTTTTCGGGCTATATGGCCATGTTCCAGAAGCATTCTCTCCTGACGTTTCTCCTTCATCTGTGGCAGGCATCCTCAGAGGTTGTGAGGTCTCACAATCTCTGAGGATGCCTGCCATAGACTCACAACCTCTAAGGATGCTATACAGCCATGTTCCAGAATCATTCTCTCCTGGTGTTTCGCCTGCATCTATGGCAAGCATCCTCAGAGGTTGTGAAGTCTCACAGCCTCTGAGGATGCCTGCCATAGACCTCACAACATCTAAGGATGCCTGACATAGACTCACAACCTCTAAGGATACTATATGGCGATGTTCCAGAAGCATTCTCTCCTGACGTTTTACCTGCATCTATGGCAGGCATCCTCAGATAGAGCTCACAACCTCTAAGGATACTATATGGCGATGTTCCAAAAGTATTCTCTCCTGACGTTTCGCCTCACAACCTCTGAGGATGCCTGTGAGAGATGTGGGTGAAACATCATGAGAGAATGATTCTAGAACATGGCCATATAGTTTGAAAACCTTACAACAACCCGGAGGAAATAAGCCTAACAGAAGAAAGGAAGAGGAAAAGATGCTGTATTTTTATAGATATTTCCAGTCTGTTCAAAATGTTGTTGTTATTATTATTGGGTTGCTGTGAGTTTTTCCAGGCTGCCTGGCCATGTTCCATAAGCATTCCCTCCTGACGTTTCACCCACATCTATGGCAGGCATCCTCAGAGGTTGTGAGGTCTGTTGGAAACTAGGCAAGTGGGGTTTATCTGTGGAGTGTCCAGGGTGGGAGAAAGAACTCTTGTCTGTTGGAGGCAAGTGTGAATGTAGCAATTGGCCACCTTGATTATCATTAAATGGTCTTGCAGCTTCAAAGCCTGGATGGTCACTGCTTGGGGGAATCATTTGTTGGGAGTTGTTAGCTGGCCCTGATTGTTTCTTGTCTGGAATTAGAAAAAATAAACAAAATATGGCTACCTGTATTCAAAAAACTCAAAAATCAGGACAGTAAATAAAGAACAACACCCCAAAAGCAGGGGAATTCCAGACAAGAATCAATCAGGGCTAGCTAGCACCTTACAACAAAGGGTTCCCCCAGGCAGTGAACAGCCAGGCTTTGAAGCTGCAAGGCCATTCAATGCTAACCAAGGTGGCCAATTGCAACATGCACACTTGCCTCCAAAAGACAAGACAGGATGTAACTAAGATGGCTTAGTTAAAGTTTAGTCTTTCATAAGCAAATCTAGTAAGATCAGTGACTCCCACAGTCAGTCTCATTTTTTTTCCTGGATAATAAGATATAATTGATTTTTGGTAAATTCATAGAAAAAATTGTTTTGTTTGTTTGTTTGCTAAGAATTTACCAAAAATCAATTATATCTTCATATATTTGGATGTTTTTTGTTGGTTCATAACTGTTTTCATTACTGCATTCATCTTTTAATCTACCCCTCTATTCTGCCTTGGTCAGACCACACCTTGAATACTGTGTCCATTTCTGGTTACCACAGTTGAAGGGAGATGCTGACTCTCAGCTGGAATGTGTCCAGAGGAGGGCAACGAAAATGATTAAAGGTCTGGAGTTCATGCCCTGTGAGGAGCAGCTTAAAGAGCTGGGCATGTTTAGCCTGAAGAAGAAAGCACTGAGAAGAGACATTATGGTCATGTATAAATATTTGAAGGGAAGTCATAGGGAGGAGGCTTGTTTTCTGCTGCCCTGGAGACTAGGACACGGAACAATGGCTCCAAACTACAGGAAAGGAGAGTCCACCTGAACATTAAGAAGAACTTCCTAACTGTGAGAGCTGTTCAGCAGTGGAACTCACTGTCCCAGAGTGTGGTGGAGGCTTCTTCTTTGGAGGCTTTTAAATAAAGTCTGGATGGCCATCTGCCAGGGGTGCTTTGAATGCGATTTTCCTGCTTCTTGGCAGAGGATTGGACTGGATGGCCCACGAGGTCTCTTCCATTCTATGATTCTATGAATCCAGAGCTTTCCAAACTGTGTCACGACACCTTATTGTGAAGGTACAGTATGCCATGCAAACATAGCAAGGAACCTATGAGTCTATGCAAAATAAATTAACTATTTTAAAATATGAAAAAAGTCATGGGATATGTTACATTCCTATACATTATGTTATTACAAGTTGTGTATGTATCCATAGCTCTTATGATGAGTTGGTTTAGCCACAGGTTTGGTGGTAAAACCTAATTACTGTGCTGCAAAATGGTGCACACCAACATGAAACGTTTGGAAAGCTCTGCTTCATTCATTTCCTCTTGTGTTCCTGACCATCTAACTATTCAAGTGTAAGAAATGTGTAACCATGGAAACTGGTCCTCCCTCCTCCACCGGGAATGTAGTCTGCTGCTCAGAATATCTGATGAGAAACTGAATTGGGTTTTGTGTAACACGGAGGACCATTGGAAACACTGCGACTAAATTCAGCCGAAAATGGATACACTTGTCTCCCTATCTGATTGTCCCCGCAGTCCTTTCATGATGTACAGTTGAATAAAACCCTTTTATCTGTGTACAGAAGGGAGTATGTGCAATCAGGTGATATCTCAGCAGGAAAGGAATGTGGCAAATGAACCAGATTCAGGCTTTGCATGCTTTTTCATCAATTTAGGAATGAGTCAATAAGGGATGTACATAAGGGTGAACTGAAGGGTGCAGCCTGCATTTTGGGAAGAAGAGACCACATCTCTGAACAGTCATGTTTCAACTGAATTATAAAAAATTGTGGAAGGAAGCAAACAGCCCATAAAGATATTGCAGAATACCTTTTTAGTTGAGGAAAATTTAGGTACTAGGCCCATTGGATTTACAGTGGGTCCTTGGTACCAACTGAGGTTTCCTTCCAAGACCCCTTATGGATATCCAAATCTGTAGATGATCAAGTCCCATTATATACACTGGAGCAAAATCAAGGTTAGCTTTTTGGATTTTAAAAAACATTTTCAAGCTGTGGATGACTGAACCTGATTGCAGGATCCGTGGATATTGAGGTCCTACTATTTCAAATCATAAGTTCTGTACATCTCATTAATTCAGTGATTCTATTCTAATTAGGCCTGGCAATTGGATTTATGTTTTAATATTTAAGTGAGGAATGTAAATATTCAACTATTTAATCCTCACTCATGAAGACGAATCATTACTGTGTTAATCTCCCTGTTGCAGGATAAAATTAGTTTGATGAACATTATCGCTGTATTTGAAAATTATTCTCTCCTGTTCCAATGTGTTTTGTGCATAAAACTGGCCTCCTTCACAAAAAGGCTTTCAGCAGATAAAATGTATATTGTGCATAGAAAGCAAGAATTTTGTGCAAAAAAAGGAGTTTATTTCAAGATATTGGAAACTAGGATAAAATCATGAAGAATTCTTGCTGGTGTATTATTATTGTTGTTGTTGTTATTGTTGTTGTTGTCGTCATTATTACAGCTGGGGTTTTCTGACTGCCGAGAAAATGTTTTTCAATTTGGGGAACAAATAGTTATGAATATTCTTCCCATCCCTAATTTAAAGAAGGAAAATCACAGAAAATGCAATAGTTAAAATTTGGAAATTTACAATTTCCTCAGAAATTGTAAACAATCGGTATGGAATAGTTTCTTATAATGTGTATTATATATAATTTGCAATGAATGATATAGTAGTAAAGGCATAATAAGCTTTTGCCAGCAAGTTAACCTCCAGCACAGTCTGTTCCATCTTGTTTCATTTCCCCACTTCCCTTTAAGAGCATCCATATAAAACTTTTCACAGAGAAATTGGTAAAACTGCAGTGTTAATAAACAATATAAAATTAGAGCCACTACTGAAAACCAAAAACTCAGTAGTACAACTAGTACTAAAACAACACAGTGCCTTTGCCTCCTTTCCCACTTGACTAGTGGATCAGATTGCAAAAGGCATTTCCCAGATATTCTCTAGTCATTTGAAGATGTTGGTTCATTTCTGTGTCTGTTGCCATTCAGGCAAGTCCCTTCTCAACCTTCTTCCTTCCTCAATCCACCCACGTCTCAGAGGAGAAAGCTCTCAAAGTTCAACCTCTGCACTATTTCCAAATGCGTGTGACACTTTTTAAAGTCAAAGATGCTGTCCAGGGTTTTTTTTTTGTATTCCCAGTTCCATAGTAAATCTTCTCAGTATTTGATGTTTATAGCCAAAGCATTTAAGTCCAGAAGCAAGACTGTTAAATTATATGTTTGCACTATGATTTAGGTGTGCCTCATTGGCAAGCACAGGCTGGCATCACATAAACACAGTTGGCAAAGGCTTACATATTTGTATCTCATCTGTGTGACTATACATATATATAAAATGTTGCTGGCAAAGTATTTTATTTATTTATTTATTTATCGGGTCAGAAGCAAATTGAGAATAGTTAAAAACTTGGCATTATACTAAATAGCCACATGGAGGGCCTTTGGGGTTGCTGTAAGGAGGTCCTCCATTGTGTATGTGGCAGGGCTCAGACTACACCTAAATAGAAATTCCTTTCTTGTTAGCTTAGTGCAGAAGTAGCCCTCTTGACGTCGACCTGAACAGCTGCAGCAATCCTAGTCCAGTAGTTGATTCATTACTTTCAAAACAAATACTTGCCTTGTTCTTAGCCTCGTATTCATATTGCCCATTTTCATTGTACAATTTCAGAGGCTTTCTCTCAGCCTTCAGCACTGCTGCACAGCAGAGAAGTACAGGGGATGACTGTGGCCCAGAAGATTCAAATGATGAACCAAGGCATCTTCTAAATGAAAACAGTTTAGAGCACAAGGCCATCAAACTAGAAGAACAAGTCCGTGTCATGACAGTAAGTAACTTCACTGAGCTATATTTTCTTTCAGTGTGTGACCTATATCATCCAGATGTGCCATGAAGCCAAAATACAAAATGATAAGAGAAAGAGATAAGTAGCAAAATTTGTTATTTCTTACAAGGAGTTTATAGGTTACAATTAAGTGAGAAAATGATTTTTAAAAATGGTCCTGAAGCCAATGAAATTGAAATAGAAAATGTCCAGGAATGGTGATAGATTAGACCCAGAAAATATGCCAAGTTAGCATTTTTCATAAATGACCTACATAATTGAAATAATTTCTACAGTTAGTAAAAACAGTGTTCTCATTTTCCCAAAGCTGTCACGGAAAATTGTATTTGTCTAACGGACTGTATCCTGTTCTCTTTCCCAATGTTTGTAGATGTATAAAATATTCATTGCTTTGTTTCTTTGGAGAAAGAGCTTGTATTTGACACTGTTTCTTGCTCTGTGTTCAGGAACGATATCAGAGAGCCTTAACAGATTCTGAAAATGTCAGGCGGAGAACACAAAAGTTTGTAGAGGATGCTAAGATTTTTGGTAAGTAAAAGGGTGCCTGTGACATACATACTTACCTGGCTATGTGAAGTGTTTAAAGCTTTAAAATGCTGCCCATAAACATTTTTATACTGTGCTATTCAAAGGGCTCATGTGGGCCAGAGTGAAGTAGCTTAATACCATTAGAAAAAAAGCTTTTCTAGGGGATTCTTTGAGGGAACAATGGCAGTGGTGCAATTCTGTTTTTCCTATGATTACAATATCTGTAAGAGATACTGAATAAGTCCTGTAATGTGCTCTTGGGCCATACACCAGCTTTTCTGTCATTCACATTCTAGTCATCTTCCACCCCCCGTTTCATCACACCAAGTTCCTTGGTAAACCATAGAACCAGCTAAGTTCTCTGTGCTGGCAAAGGACACTTTGAAGCAATTTCAGCTGCCTAGAGCATTTCTGCATTTTGCAGAGTGACTTAAGTGCTTTGACAAGATGCACAAGTCACCTGAAGTGGAAACATCTCACGAGTTTCAGGAAGTCTCTAAGACATCTTCAACTTCCTGGACAAACCATCTTACTAAATCCCCCATTTGCTACAAAGAGGAGTAGCTACCCTTTTAGAAAGTGGCATAATTATAATAGTATAGTTAGATTTTGTTTTCTAAAAAACCAGAATTGATTTCTAAAGAATTTCTCACTTAGCTAAGATTTAAAAGGATGAAATCACCAAAAAGGAATTCAAATGAATAGCTAGCATAGGTAGGCAGAATATCAGAAAATCTGAAGTATACAATGAGCTCAGGCTTTCCAAACATTAAAGGGTTTTTTTCTGGTTATGTCTCGCAAAAGGAAGAACAAGGAAATAGGATCCCTACATTGAGTTGATGAGGAAACTGCTAACAAGGGACAGAGAAAAGGCCAAAAATGATTCAACACTTTCTTTGCCTCTGTATTCAAGCTGTGCAAAATGGTGCAGGATATTTAGAAGCTAGAACATGCCCAGTGAAGGGCGACCCAAATGATCAAACGTTTGGAAACCAAGCCCCATGATGAGTAGCTTTGAGTGCTGGGTATGTTTAGCTTTCAGAAAGGAGGCTGAATGGGAACATGATAACCATGTTTACATTTTTGAAAAGATGTTAAATTGAGAAGGGATAGTTTTTTTTCTGCTGCTGCTCCAAGACTTAAGAAGCAATAGATTGGCAAATAGGCAAACATTAGGAAGAACTTCCTGACAGTAAGAGCTTTTTGACAGTGGAGTATGCTGCCTTGGAGGATGGTAGAGTCTCCTTAACTGGAGGTTTTTAAGCAGAAGCTGGATGACTATCTGTTGGGAGTGCTTTCATTTTGTTCTCCTGCGTGTCAGAAGGATTAGACTTGATGGCTCTTGTGATCTCTTCCAACTGTAATTCTATTATTGTTTCCCCATCAACCTGTCCTTGATTTTTTTCAGTAATACTTGGAAAAAATAATCTGTAAGAATTTGAGTGCAAAGCTCTGGTAGCTACTGATTCTTGTACTACTACAAGAAGGCTTAATAAACTCGTTTTGAAGCAGTCATGTATGCATGCCATTGCAGCTTTAGTGATTTAAGACGTATTTCTCATTTTAAATTGAGAGCCTGGCATACAATGCACATCTTCTGACATTCTTTCCAGATATGTTGTTAATTGATAATTCTAGCCAGTTAGAATGTATTGCTACATTTTTGTACTTTGGAACAATTATGTGGGCATTTATACACAGCAGAAGGTAAATTATGGCAATCAAAAAATCAAAAAGCAACTCTAAGGAAACTCAAGCATTTACTGCTGTCTCTGAAATCCAGCATCATTTTTTTATGAATCCTTGGAAACGGATAATATTCCAAGAATTGTTGTCATCATCTAAATTCTGAATGGCTATTTTCTTAATGTCTTGATTTGTGTGTGTGTGTGTGTATCTACAGGCATCCAGAGCCTCTGCAGAGACCTGGTGGAAGTAGCAGATGCCCTAGAGAAGACAACAGAGTGTGCTTTAGCAGAACATAATGACCCAACTCTGACACTGAAGAAGATTTATGAAGGCTTGTCTCTCATAGAATCCAAACTACAAAGTATATTTGCTAAGCATGGCCTGCAAAAAATGAATCCCGTTGGTGGCAAATATGATCCATATGATCATGAAATAGTGTGTCATGTCCCAGCTGAGGAAATGCATCCAGGTACTGTGGCACTAGTGACTTTGGATGGCTACAAACTCCATGGCCGAACCATTAGACATGCACATGTAGGTGTGGCTGTAGAATCACATGAATGAGTTAGAGATGTATGGTAGTACTTGAGATTCAGAAGAACTGGCATATCGGTCCACATGACTATTGCTGCTGGGGCATTTCTATTTATTAAGCTAAGCTTGTATTATATGCTGTGGTCTCTCAGGATGGGCACAGCAGCTTGGCCTTTGCTTCCAAGATGTACAGTTATTTAATGTCACTTTTCCTATGTTATAAATATTTTTTTCCAGATGTTTTTCAAACATAGGTAAACTGGCCTTTTCTGTTATGATTCTCAGGTCTGCATTAAATTTGTCAGTGGATTTGGGAGAAGAAAGGAATTCTAAGACATTGTTATGCATTCTTCTTTTCCTGTTTCCTATACTCCTCTGCACATTTCCCCAAATCTGTTTCAGAGTCTCCCCTAACCATTGGGAACAGATTTACACCCCTCAGATAAAATGTGAAGAACATTTTGTTAGTACTGTATGCTCTGCTAAATGACAGATGAGTGGATGAAATCCCTAATATTTGAAAGTTCTGTATTCATGAAGGGGCTAAGATTGCATCCCCAGTATCTCTGAATGGGGCTGCCAAAAAAATCCTGCCTGTCCCTGGAAAGCAGCTACAAGTTAATGTAGGCAATACTGAGTTGGTAAAACTTTCTATCAGTCAGCTTTCTATATTTCTAAAAAAAAAAGAAAGTCTGAACAGTTGAGCTTGGTGTACCAAAATCCTATGTAGCCCTGCATCTCATTTGTAGCTGTAATCAACCTGAAGGCCCTGAGGAAGCAACCAAGCACCAAATAGTTGAGGTTGCTGTTTGCTTAAAAAAAAAAAAAAGCACAAAAAAGCATCAGTTTTTCTTTTTCCTAGAGGTGTTGCTCCATTTTGGTTTCTTCTTTTCTGCTCCTTTTGTAGTGTATCATACACTGTTTGAATGCTGCTGCAGACAAAAGTACACACAGTTTTACAAGTGTGGTTGGGAAGTTGAAAGGTAGTTTTTAAATATAATCACACAATGATCCTTGAAAGAGGATTTTGTCATTTTCATCGCTCCTGTGTACTGGAATAACATTTCTGTTCAGCCATGTGCCACAAGTTAAAATGTACTGGTTCTAATACAAATCCCTGAACGACCTCACTGCTTACATCCCTGTGTTCCAGAAACTTTCAGTGTACTCCTATGTTGTGCTTCCTGTTCTGTAAGTAGTTACTGATCCAAAAACTCTTCCCTTTATGCCAAAATTTCTCCATTGACTCAAGAGACCTTGAATAATTGCTTCACCATAATGTTTTCAAATATTCAAATGTGTGATGTCTGCTGGATCACCCCATTCATATATTTGTTGACTCTTGAAAAACCAAAAGATAATTGAAAAACGGTTTTTGTTTTAACAGAAATTATGTTGGCGTTTTTTTTTTCTTCTTCAACAAAACTTGGCCTTCTGTGTTAGGAATGGGCAAAAACTGGCTCTCTGTAGGTTGCTGTGCTATAACTCCCAGAAGTCCTCATCATTGGTTGTGTTGGAAGTTGTCATCCAACATCTGGAAGCCTGTGCCATCTTCCACAAATTTACCTGAAATAGATATTAAGATGGCTAGCCTGTAATGTCCTTGATTGACACGTATCACATTTCCAGCTGAGCTTCCATTGTGGTTTTGAATCACTCCCAGTATTTTGAAAGGATTTGGCCTTCTTGATTTTCTCTTTTAAGCTTTTTCTCAGTCTCCTTGATTTTTGGAAAACAAAGCTTCCTTTCTTTGAAGGTAAACGTGGCTATAGTGGCAGTTTTCCACTTACATACAGATTGAATTTAATAGCCCTGCAACTACTTTGGGTTTCCAGTATGTTTCAAGAAAATCCAAGAAAGTTCACATCAAATCCAGTTCTCCATTTAAGATTAAATCCATGGTTGTTGCCATCATCCCAACTGTTCTAGGACAAAATGAGTTAAGAAATCTAGACAAATATCTTCTTTGTCATAATAAAAATAACAATAATGATGATGATGATGATGATGATGATGATGATGATTAATTTATTACCCACCTCTTCCTGCACTCAAGGCAGGATACAAGGCAGGCATCCTCAGAGGTCAAGGGGTCTGTTGGAAACTAGGCAAGTTATGTTTATATATTTGTGGATGCCTGCCATAGATGTGGATGAAATGCCAGGAGAGAATGCTTCTGGAACATGGCCATATAGCCAGGAAAACTCACAGCAATCCAGTGATTCTGGCCATGAAATCCTTCAACAACACATTGTTTCACAACTGTTTACTCTTCACAACGTTCCCGTGATGATGTATTTTCCCACTTTAAATGCTTCTGGAACATGGCTGTATAGCCAGGAAAACTCACAGCAATCCAGTTGTGAGACACTTTGAACATGATAATGTTGTTGGCTGCTGAATGAAAAAAAATATTGGGATTTCTGGCAGAAGAGTTTCTAAAATTGTTCATCTGTCAATTCCTTTGGAAACTGAAGATTTTTCCACCTGCTTGTCTGTCCCAAAACTGAAGTTAGCACAGTGATACATGCAGGTATAGGGTTAAATTCATCATAAGTCTAAATGCTGCATAATTAAAAATAGAAAATCCAAAACTTGCACTTTTTGTTGATCAAAACTCCCATCCCCAGTTGAAGAATCTTTTAAGAAAATATGACTTGGAGAGACATCAGCCCAACAGTTCTTATCACTTCCAGTTAGAATAGACAGAAATGAACTAGGTGGACTCGCGATCAGCAATATAAGGAAGCTTTCCAGCCCTTTTATGATCTTGACTTGTTGGCCAACATTTAATTAAATTATTTCCCAAAAATGTCTGAGTATGATTTAATTAGTGCTGGAAAGGTTGAAAATAGAATAGGGAGCAGTCTTGCTGAACTGGTAGTCAGAAACAGGAAAAATCCTATACCAAAAACTGAAATTTGCATTTAGATTTTTTTCTACAAAATAAATGGACAAACCTGAATAAACAATTGAAGCTGACATTCATTTAGTTAAATGCTGTCCTTGACACAAAGTTCCTTGTTGAATGCAAATGAAATAAAACCCATGCTGTTTAGAGCACTGCTTCATGAGCCATGGGCTCTAGCCTGGAATGGAGTTCTCTTAGCCCAGTGTTGTGGTAACAACAAAATTGGGAACATTAAAGGTTTCTGAATGCCACCCATTTATACAACTTGTAAACAACAATGTGGACTCTACAGAAAATGCTTCAGTTGTACTTCATACCTGTTTAGCAAGCCTTGCAAATCTGATTTATTATGAGTAAATGTTTGGTATTATTTCTGTTTTCTATACCTCTATTACACAGAATCACATAAAAATTTCTTGGGAGGAAAGGGTTATGAGTGGAAGAGGTTTCAGAAGCCCTGTTGAGAATATACTGTTGTCTGCAAATCTCCTCACATTATACCCTCTCAAGATGTTTGTCTTCCAAAACTGCTTAGAATATCTTCTGAATAAAACACAACTGGCCAGAAATGTAGAAATGGATTATTTCTTGCTGTTTCCTAATCAGAAAGGATCCTTAAAAGGAGTGAGATTAAATTACCCTGCTGGTTTGAAAAAGCCAGCATGTGCTTTTGTACATCGCCCTGCTGGTAGCTGGGTATTGTTGCTGACTCAGTGCAGCCACTGTCCAGTGCATAGTTTCCTTCAGTTCTCAACTGCAACATTGAATCCAGCCATTGGCAGAATCCTTTGACAAACGCTTTTTATTTATTTCGAGACTTTGAAAGTTTATGCCACAACAAATACCACAGACTTAACATGGTTACTCTTGTGGAGGCTGGTTTTTCCTGGTCTTTCAAACATTCCTTTTGCTCAGTTTTGCAGATATACCCAGTGATTGCATTTTGCAGAACTTACACAAGTCAGAAATACTCCAAAAATTGTTTCTTCAGAAGGTAAATCACTGTCCTCTTGGCACCAGTTACTCCTTTTTGATGAAGCTGCCAAGAAGTTGAGGACCTGGTGTGGCCACTAGTTGAGACTGATCTGATACGTGATGTGCTCATGAAAACACAGGAGTCCAACTGGGTCAAATGAAAGTCTTATTTAATACTGAAGTGTTTCCCAGGTGCATCTACATTGTGGAGTGCATCTATACTACAGAAATAATGCAGTTGGGCATCATTTTAACTGCCATGGCTCAATGTTATGAATCCTGGGAGTTGTAGGCCACACAAGGTCCTTAGTTTCCTTTGCCAAAGCATACCAAGTCCCAGGATTCCATAGCTTTGAGCCATGACAACGTAGTGTCAAACTGCATTAATTCTACAGTGGCAGAATTAGCGGCAACCCAAGAAGTTGAGTGTGACGCCCTTCCCTTGTCCTCAGCCCAATTTTTCATAACTGGTTCTTAGATACAGTGGACATGCTGTTTACTATCTCTACTTTTCATGTCTGAATGACTCTTCAAGACTTGTAGCATTGCCAAGTTCTGGGGGTTTTTTTAACTCACTAGAAGCTTTTCCACACAGCCATGTAACCCAGAATATCAAGGCAAAATAATCCACATTATCTGCTTTGAACTGGAATAACTGAGCCCACACTGCAATATATCCCAATTCAAAGCAGATAATGCAGGATTTGATTCAGCTGTGTGGAAGGGGCCTAGGAAAGAAAATAAGGGTAGTTTCAATTTGATCTATACTTCACCTTCCTACTCAAACTGGGACTCAAGGTATGTTAGCAGAAGGAACTGGGATAGGATTTTACTGTAAGGAACTAGAATCTGAATGTCTTCTGGCACCAGGTTAATCTTGGTTTAACAATAAAGGAAATCCAAATAGTAAGGAATATGATTTCAACCTAAATAATACAGTAAGTCCTTGGTACCCACTGGCATTTTGTTCAGTGATATCAACATCCATGGATGTCCAAATATTATAAACAATGGTATCATAAAATGATGTCCCTTATATACAGTGGCAAAGCCATGGTTTGTTTTTGGGAATTTTTAAAAAAATAGTTATGGGGTGAAATTCAAGGATACGGACGACAGGTAGTACTTGACTTTGTTCAAGAAAACATCCAGTGGTATTTTAATTATACTGAAGGAGACAAAACATCAAACAAAGATGTAAAGATAACTTTGTGCTTGGAACCCTACATTTCATCTGCTGTCTGGAAACTTGCATTTAAGGAAGGGTGAAGTTCTGAAGTCCGCATGTACACCATATTAATTGTCCCAGCCTGCAAAGAATCAGCACTTTGCCAATAATGCGCAGCAAATATAGGTACATGCTTTTATGTATCTTGAAATCATGTGATGATTTCTCACCTCTGTTGCATTTATGACCTTGACTGGAGAAAGTGTGAGGGTTGGACTGTGACTCCCACCAGTTTGTCAACATTAATAACCACGATTCAGTGCTACGGAACTCTGAAATTTGTAGTTTTGCAAAATATCTATCCTTTTCTGTCAGGGTGCTACGATTGGCCCCCTCCTCTTGACCTTCAGAAAGAGTGAAAAAGTGACTCTGGGATCAAGCCTCCAGAGAAGAACCATAGTGCAAGAGATGGACTGGAATTATGTACAATGACTTTCAGATTGACCTGGATTATGATTGCAGAAAGCATGGTTTTATAGTGATTGTAATGTTTTTAAACTGTTTTAATGTATTTCAGTCTTGATCTTAATTTCTAATTCCAATGTTTCTTTTAACTGTATATTGTTGTTAAGGCATTGAATTATTGCCTATCTGTAAGCTGCCACGAGTTCCCTTTGGGATAGAGATAGGCAGGATATAAATATAGAATCATAGAGTTGGAAGACCTCATGGGCCTCATGGGCCAGTAAATACCACAAATTTCAAATGTCAGGGATATTGACATTAGGAAGAACTTCCTGACTGTAAGAGCTGTTCAGCAGTGGAACTCTCTGCCTTAGAGTGTGGCAGAAGCTCCTTCCTTGGAGGCTTTTAAACAGTCTGGGTGGCGATCTCTCAGTGTGCTTTAATTGTGCTTTTCCTGCATGACACGGGGTTGGACTAGATGGTCATGTGTTCTCTTCCAGCTTTTTGATTCTATGGTTCCATAGGAAGGCGCCTTGGCTCTAATTCAGAAGTGTGGGTGCTCTCCCAGGGTGCATCTCCTCCGTAGAATGAATGCAGTTTGACACCACTTGAACAGCCATGGCTCAATGCGATGGAGTCCTGAGAATTGTAGTTTGGTGAGGCACCAACACGTTTTGGCAGAGAAGGCTAAAAATCTTGTAAGCCTACAACTGGATTCCACAGCATTAGAGCCATAGCCGTCAAGGTAAAGGTTTCCTCTTGACATCCAGCCTAGTCGAGTCCGACTCTGGGGGGTGGTGCTCATCTCCATTTGTAAGCCGAAGAGCCGGCGTTGTCCGTAGACACTTCCAAGGTCATGTGGCCAGCATGACTGCATGGTGGAGCGCCGTTACCTTTTCGCCGGAGCAGTTCCTATTCATATTTGCGTGTTTTTGAACTGCTAGGCTGGCAGAAGTTGGGGCTAACAGCAGGAGCTCACCCCATCCCACGGATTTGAACCGCTGACCTTCCGGCCAGCAAGTTTAGCAGCCTTGCGGTTTAACCCGCTGCGCCCCATAGCAGTAAAAATGGTGTCAAATTGTATTAATTCTGCAGTGTAGATGCACTTCCAATGGTTCTTGAGTGCTTCTTACAAAAGAGCCATATAACCCAGAATATAAAGGCAGATAATCCACAATATCTGCTTTGAACGGGATTATCTGAGTCCATACTGCCATATAATCCTGATCAATGTCGATTTTATACAGCTGTGTGGAAGAGGCTTAAGACTGGGATGTACCTACACTGCAGAATGAATGGCTGGGAGTTACAGTTTCGCCAGGTCTCACCAAACTCCAGGGCAATCAAAGTGGTGTCAAAGAAACGGCATGAACGCGACAGTGTCGAGCAGGCTGCATTTCCGCTTTAAAGGGGCTCGTGTCTCTTTAACAGGCCAAGCCTCCCTGGCGGCGCGTGAGCACAAAGCAGGCGCAGCCAATGAGGCGGTCGCCTCTTCTTCCTCGGCCAGTGTCTCGTGAAGCTCGGCGCCTGGTTCCGAGAAAGGCCCGGGCCTCGTGCAGCCTCCCCCTCCTCCTCTGCTCACCCCTCCCCTTCGGTATCACGATGGCTGCTTTTCCTCCTCTTCTTCCTCCTGCATCCCGGCTCCTTTTGTTGCTGGCGGTGGCTGCAAGCTGGATGGCGACGGAGCCCGCCGTTTTCGCTGCTGCTGCTGCTGCTGCAGGGGATCCCGCTCCGCCGGGCAAAATAGGTAGGAGGCCAGGGTGGCTGGGCTTCCCGGCTTTGAGACTGGCAAGGCCTGCGGGAGGGGCGTGGGAGGGGTGGATGCCGGAAAAGGGAGGAGGAAGGGACTCCCCACAAGCATGCACAATCATGATACCCAGGTTGGAACAGGAGAGGCGGGAGAGACCCCAGGAGGGCTGTGGTGGCAGGTGGGGAAGTGTTGTCGAAGGCTTTCATGGCCGGAATCAAATCTCACTTGCCTAGTTTCCAACAGATCTCTCAACCTCTGAGGATGCTTGCCATAGATCTGGGCAGAACGTCAGACAAGAATCCAGGCAAGAATCAATCAGGGCCAGCTAACACACCCTAACAAAGGATTCCCTCGGCAGCAACCAGCCAGGCTTTGAAGCTGCAAGGCCATTCCGTGCTAATCAAGGTGGCCAATTGCAACACTCACACATGCCTCAAGCAGACGAGAGTTCTTTCTCCCACCCTGGACATTCCACAGATATATATATATATATATATATATATATATATATATATATATATATATATATATATATATATATAAACCCCACTTGCCTAGTTTCCAACAGACCTCACAACCTCTGAGGATGTCTGCCATAGATGTGGGCAAAATGTCAGACAAGAATCAATCAGGGCCAGCTAACAACTCCCAGCAAAGGATTCCTCCATGCAGCCACCAGCCAAGCTTTGAAGCTGCAAGGTCATTCAGTGCTAATCAAGGTGACCAGTTGCAACATTCACACCTTGCCTCAAGACAACAAGAGTTCTTTCTCCCACCCTGGACATTCCACAAATATATAAATCTCACTTGCCTAGTTTCCAACAGACCTTACAATCTCTAAGGATGCCTCCCAGAGATGTGGGCAAAACGTCAGGAGAGAATGCTTCTGGAACATGGCCATATAGCCTGGAAAACTCACAGTAACCCAGTCATTCCAGCCATGAAAGCCTTTGATAACACATTATCATTATTATTATTATTATTATTATTAGCTTCACACCTCTCCTCACAACTCAAGGCGGGGTACAACATCGTTGAATCAGACAGATAAAGCACAACACTATTAGAATGCATATACCAAAATACACACAACAAAAGCTGACACCAACACCAGTAGGGCTTGAACCTGGTAGGGCTAGATTGCACTACACTGCAGGACAAGAGTAATGAGAAATTGCCTGTCAAGGGACATAAAAGGGGAGAACCAGCAGCATGGAGCCTGTTTCTGTATTTTCAATTTTTTTTTTGTCTGCCTCCCAGCTTTGCCCAAGGTGCTTTAGCATTTGTCTTAGGTATTTGTATATTTTTTATGAGAGGTAATGTATGCATAATTCCGTAGTATGGGAAAGGGGAGCCATGTTTTTCTCTTGCAAACATGTTCTGTCACCGCTGGAGCTAAAATTAAATGCTTCTAAGAGAGGATGCAAGGCTTGCATCCAGCGGGAAGCCCGGTGGAAAGTTCCTTTAGAGGAAAGTAGGGAAAGTTCCTTTAGAGGAACTTTCCCTACTAAGCAGGCTTTAGGAGACTTGAACTTAAATACAACAGTCTTTATTAATGAACAAGCAGGAATTGTAAGATTTCTAAATAGTCTATTGGGTCTTGCAGTCTTGTTTACAGGAAACAGGCACTATCTTCAAGAAACTTTGTTTAACAGAAAAATTCCCCTTTAAAGCTCCTCCCAGGCTGCTGTGAACTTAAACCTAACTGGTTTGAGTCTGCTACCGGCTGAACTGCGTACCATCAGACGTACCAACAGACGTACCATAAGGCTTGAAATCACTTAACTGAAAATGAAGAGCTGTTATTCCCTCTGGAGGTCCTCAGGGCTGTGAAGCTGTTCCCTGGAACCCTTTGGGAATCCGTAGAGGCCTTTAATCTGTTCTTCCCCAGGAACTCTTAAAAGACAAAGCCTTTGCACAGGAGGAACGTCTGTACGCATCCTCTGCCTTGGCTTCCCTTGTTGTGACTAACTGAAAAATGGCCCCTTCCCTCCAAAAGGCAAAAAGGGGGCAGGACCAGGGATCCTAACTATAATTGGCAGGTGGCTTGCCCTATGAATGCAGCCAAAGGAAGCCACCTATCTGTAAAGTCCCTGCAACTTAGGACTGTGAACAAACACGCAGTGCAAAACACAAAATTGGAGCCCCCGGAACACCCGTTCCAGAACAAAACATGTTTGTGATCTTGCAAGCACTGCCCCCTTTTCTTTTCACCTTGTGGCTTTCCTTGGTGCTGGAGAAAGAATTGAGAATATTTGTGTGTTGAGGTTCTGCCTCATGCTTGGAAGAGTAGGCTAGGCCTTTAGAGGTAATTTGGCTTCTGATGCCTATTATTCTCATCTTCCACTTCTTTCATCCAGATGGTGAGAGGTCAAGATGGGTCAGAGTGAACTCTGCAGGTACTGTCTCTTTATTAAAGCCACTGCTTTTGTTTTGCCTTGGCAGCTGTGGTAGGAGCTGGGATTGGTGGCTCATCCATGGCCCATTTCCTGCAGCAACACTTTGGGCCACAGGTTCAGCTTGATGTGTATGAAAAGGACACTGTGGGGGGCCGCCTGTCCACCGTCACTGTCAATAAGCAGCAGTACGAAAATGGCGGGGCCTCCATCCACTCCCTCAGCTTGCACATGCAAGACTTCGTGAAACTGCTGGGTGAGTGAACACCATCAACACATCGTTTCTCCTACACCCTTTTCTGTTTCTGTGTACTTTGGTAGACTAACTTTTTATTTTATCTTTTGTTTGATTGTTTTTGTTGTATTGTTCAAACATGAGGCATGGAAGTGGTTGGAAATCAAAATTGCTTGACTATAAGCTGCTTAATATCATAGAATTATAGAGTTGGAAGAGACCTCATGGGCCATCCAGTCCAACCCCCTGCCAAGAAGCAGGAAAATCGCATTCAAAGCACCCCTGACAGATGGCCATCCTCCCTGTGTTTATAAGCCTCCACCACACTCTGAGGCAGAGAGTTCCACTGCTGAATGGCTCTCAGTCAGGAAGTTCTTCCTAATGTACAGATGGAATCTCCTTTTAAGTAGTTTGAAGCCACTGTTCTGCATCCTAGTCTCCAGGGCAGCAGAAAACAAGTTTGCTCCCTCCTCCCTGTGACTTTCTCTCACCTATTTATACATGGCTATCATGTCTCCTCTCAGCCTTCTCTTCTTCAGGCTAAACATGCCCAGATCTTTAAGCCACTCCTCATGATGAAGCAGTGTGTCTTCCTCCCATGTTTAGGACACTGCTTTTTGACCACAGCCCCATTCTCTAGTTTTCTCTCTCCCCACAACAGTTGGTTAGCATTCCATGATTAGGTTCACTTTTCATTGAGTTCTTTTTATTTAATTTTTGCTCTCACAGATTTTTTTCTCCTACTGAAGTATTCTGATACTTATTTCTTGTGGGGTGAGTTTAATTGCATCGGCATAGGCACTTTGATTTTATTCTATGGGTAGAATTCAAAAGTGTAATGAATATCAGGATGCAAAGGGATCTTGTAGCACCCTTGGGATTGACTGAAAGAAGTTGGTAGCATAAGCATTTGTAGATTTAAAGGGCATATACACTAGAGTCAGGTTAAGCCTCAGAACTGGTTGATTGGAAGGTTGGTTTGAATCTATGGACGGGGTGAGCTCCTGTTGTTATTCCCAGCTTCTGCCAGCTTAGCAGTTTGAAAACATGCAAATATGAGTAGATCAATAGGTACTGCTTCGGTGGAAAGGTAACAACACTCCATGCAGTCATACTGGCCACATGATCTTGGAGTTTTCTACGGATAACGCTGGCTCTTCAGCTTAGAAATGGAGATGAGCACCAACCCCCAGAGTCGGACTCAACTAGACAATGTTAAGGGAAAATCTTTACCTTTATATGCTAGGGTGAATGCAGCTTGACACTACTTTAACTACCATGACCCAATGCTATGGAATTGTAGTTCTATTTTCACCGTGTCTTTAGCTTTCTTTGCCAAAGAGTGCAGTACCTCGCCAAACTACAACTCTCAGGATTCCATAGCATTGAGCCATGAAAATTAAAATGGTGTTAAACTACATAAATTCTGCAATGCAGATGCATACTTCTTCAGATGCATCTGTGGAAGCAGGTTGTCTGTGAAAGCTTATACTGCAACTTCTTTCTCTCAGAATTAAGGGTGCTACAAGATCCCTTTGCAGACATTCTGTGTGATGTTGAAAGTATAGTGGACACTATGTTACTGGTATCTTGGCAATATGAAATACACCTAAATGCAGATAGTGAAACTGAATGATCTTTCAAATTCATTGCATCATTATAGTGGTTATGCATGTCAGGCCTTGAATGCAGATTGGGGGTTGCCAGTTGACATGAAGGCTATAAAAGATTATTAACCAAATCCCAACCATTGTACACAAAATTATAATGGAATGCGGCTTCTTTAATTAAAAATCAAAAGCTGCATAAGCTGGAACAATCTTGTGGCTGAAAAACCTTTTAAAAGAACGCTGACTACCACCACACTTAAACGAAATGTCAAGCCTTTGGCTTGTCTTGAGGTATCTTTAGGATAGAATGTGCTGGATTCGCACTCAGGCTTTGTTCTCTGAGGTAACACTGAAGAGATTCCCTTTTAAAATACATGCTGCCACCATTTAACCTTGATTTCTTCTGTTTTAGATCTTCACACACAGAGGCACACAGAGGCAGTGATTGTGAACAAATAACAATGTTGTTTATTTGAGTGAACTTGAACAATACAGGCTTTAAGCTTAGCGGTTTCAATGTTGAATAAAGCATATGGTTTCTTTAAATAGTTCAAAACTTAGTTGCAAATAACACCCTTCCAGAAACTACTGACAGGATTCCTCTCTGTCTAGTAATCCTAAACTCCACACAGACAGTCCTTTCCTTTTGGGATCTGTCTCTCCACTCCCCCAGCTATCCTTTCCAATAGCTGTAAACCTTCTCACTAACTAAATCTTCTAACTGACCAACTTCTGGCTTCACTAGCTCTTCTCTTCTTCACACACACACTCCCTGACTCCTTCTTCTTTGACACACAGACCCTATCTGCCCTGTCAGGTTTTAAAACACACCCTTAAAGTAATTTTTTTTCTTTTCTCAAGTTAAGCTCCGCCCACTCTCTCCCAGCCAATCACAAACTCTCCTCATTTCCCTCCAAGCTGCTCCTAAGCACGCCCCCTCCAGGAAATGAGATTCCAAGATGGAGGCCCCCAGGCACCCTTCCGAAATGGCTGCTGAACTTCCTGGGCCTACTACTTGAGCTTGCTCTGACCTTACAGGTAGGAAATTCATCACAAAGGCTATATTGGTCAGAAAGCTCTGGGCAGTGTTCCACCGGAGCCTACAAAAAACCAAGATGCAGGGCTCAACAGATGTTTAGCTTGATCCAGAATAGTTCTTTGCATGTTCTTAAGATTGAGGCACCTTTTACACTGTCATAAACAATCCAGATTATCTGCTTTGACCTGATTATATGGCAGTGTATACTCATATAATTCAGTTCAAAGCAGATAATGTGGATCATTTGCTTTGATAATCTGAATTATATGGCAGTGTCGAAGGGGCCTTTTGTTAAACCTAATTCTTATTACCTGTGAAAGCCCCAAGTCACCTGAGATTGTCTGGTTTTGGTTTGCTATAGCCTGAATATATCTATAAGACTGAAGAGTCCACTGCTTTTATGCCACTATCCAGAATAGTAAGAAGGACTTAAAGGAATTTATCTTCACTTTTGCTGTTGAGCAGGACTCAAGCACCGCCGAGAAGTGGCAGGAAAAAGTGCTATCTTTAATGGAGAGCAGTTTGTGCTGGAGGAAACAGACTGGTACCTGCTGAACCTCTTTCGGCTCTGGTGGCATTATGGCATGAGCTTTCTCCGCCTACAGATGTGGGTAGAGGAGGTAATGGAGAAGTTCATGAGGTACGTAATAGAAAAATGAGAGGAAAACAGGGTGGCCTTTCTTTTTCATTAAGCTTTGGACCTATACATCATATGGCTTGGTTGAAGAAATGCAGAACAATATGTGGGAAGCACTCGAGACCTCTTGGGAGAAGAGTCCTGTTACCTCATCTTATTCTCCCTCTTTTGTCCTACAGGATCTACAAGTACCAGGCCCATGGCTATTCATTCTCTCGCCTTGAGGTGCTCTTGCACTCTCTGGGTGGTGACACTTTTGTGAACATGACTCAGCGCTCTGTGGCTGAGTCACTCTTGGAGGTGGGCATCACCCAGCGTTTCATTGATGATGTCATTGTGGCCATTCTCCGTGCTGGCTACGGCCAATCAGTACTGGTGCCGGCTTTTGCAGGTAAGTGCAGCCCATGTTCTCCTGCTTCCAACCCACCATAGAAGACCAAAAGGTCTCCTTCCAAGAGGTCTTTTTATTCCATGTGACCTTCCAGAGCATGTAGCAGAAGGCAGTGAAGTTGTGTGGTCTTCACTCGCTTAATTCAGTTCTCCCCTCTCTATTTCTGTTTTCAGGAGCCATGTCAATAGCAGGAGCCCAGGGCAACATGTGGGCTGTGGAAGGTGGAAATAAGATGGTGTGCTCAGGCTTGCTCAAGCTCACCAAAGCCAATATAATCCAAGCCACTGTGACAGCCATCTCTCTGCACAATTCAGGTGAGTCTCATGAAAGTTGTCTCATCCTGAAGGGTTTTTTTTGGGGGGGTGGGGGGGGTGGGGGGGGGAGGACTTGAATGATTTTGTATAGTAAGGCATAGTGTTACCTTTACTGTAGTTCTTAGGGAAATTTTGGTATATTGCAGCAGGATAAATGCACTTCGGCTCTTACTTTGGATACAGTGAGCATGCCCTTTCCAATTAGTAGCTCTACATGAGTGATTCTTAACTTGTGGGTCCCCCAGGTGTTTTGACCTACAACTCCCAGAAATCGCAGTCAGTTTACCAGCTGTTTGGATTTCTGGGAGTTGAAGGCCAAAACATCTGGGGACCCACAGGTTGAGAACCACTGCTGTACATGGACTTCCAAGACCTGCTGACTTGGCCTTAAAACCCCCGTGGAAAGAAATTGTGTAATGAAGACATGAAGTGCATGAATGTGGCCAATCTATACACATTTGTTAAATTAATGGTATCAGAGAAATACCTTTAATTATCTCAGAACAATGTGATAGTTTAGGTGGGAAGAAAGATTATAAATCCTTAGTCCCCACAAGCCTTTATGTCTTTCCCCAAAGCTACTATCATAGGGAGAAGAACTTAAGTCTTGAACTTTTCTTTCCCCATCCCTCATTGTCCCCAATATCAATTTTAATTACATTCATGCAAATAACACCCTGTCTAATATAAACCTAGAATTTGGAGCTCAGTCGATACTACTGCTTCTTGGGAAGCATTTCATTTAATACACTGATAGATATTTGGGCATCACACTGTTCCTAGTTGACAAAAATGGGAAGCTATCAGGCAATATGGAAAAGCCATGGAGGAAAGGAGATAAAGGCATGACTTAGGAGCTTTGCAGAGACTAAAAATGACAGCTTCCCAGTTTTGTTGTACTCCTCTTTGAAGGCCTTGTGGACAGTTGTTAGTATAACCATTGGTGATAGGGAGCAATGGCTTAATTGAAGAGACTTTGTCATTATATTCCCTTTCTCATATCTTGAGAAAGCATGAGAAAAAAGGCAAAGGGAGAACCAAAATGGGATCTGTGTAAAGGGGAAATGTGCAGGTTTGAGTCCAGCCTTCAGGACTGTCCAGGCAATGCTTTGCAAAAGAAGCAAAGAACAGATGTCTATTAGGCCTGGGTAACAACGGAAAAATTTGTTTCTAAAATCGATTTGTATTTGGGGTTTTTTTTTGTTTCGATATTTAAAATAATTACAAAATTTTCCTTTTAAAAAGTTCGATATTTACGAAATTTCGTAAATGGTAAAAAATTAACGAATCGATTTCCGAAACAATAACGAATTGATTCGTTAATGGCGGACGCGACCGCGAAATACGCTAAAAAACCTCCAAAACCTTCTGAAGCTTCCCTCTCCCTCTGTTGTTGACTGTTGGTGTGATATTATAATTTTTTTTCACTAATTAAACCATAAAACTGGCCCAGACATGCGGAAATAATAACGAAACGACCTCAAAACAATAACGAAACGAATACAATATCGAAATACGAAGCATTTATAAAACGTTTTTGAAAATTCGTTTTTTTTAATAATTGCTCCAGAATGGTTCGTTATCGTTTTGTAATTGAAAAAATTAACGAATTATTAACGAATTACGAATTAACGAAATGAAACCGCCCAGCCCTAATGTCTATTTATTGCCCATATTGCATCTTTCTTTAAGGTTACTCTTCTATTGCAGGGACATCCTGTTTTTTGAGTACTTAATCACAGAATTTAACACAAAAGAAATAGTTGTTCTTTCTCCTAGACTAAGTGTTCCTTGCTATCATAATTATTTTATGCAAATGTGGCTGGGAAAGTGTGACGGACTAAGCCATCTGGGGGATGTAATTGCTGGGGGGGGGGGATACATTCACCCTGACTTGTTGGATAATTATATTTGAATTTCAGGGTATTTTTTTAAAAAAAACTTAAAACTTTATGTTCTCTTTCACACTAAGAGTCCTCATCAACATGTATTTCTCATAAATGGTGCTCCGTATAAGGCCAACTTACTTTATTTTATTATTATTATTTATTTGCGGTATTTGTATACCGTCTTCCTCAACCCTGAAGGGGACTCAGGGCAGTTCATAGTGTTGGCAACAATTCAATGCATCAATAAAAAAAAGGCTTCTTTGCCTTTCTCTCTGAATCCCTTCTAATATCTTAATTGAATTTGGCTAATTCTTGAGAGATATTATTGTTATGCTACTGTTTAATCCATGTTTTTGTATTTCACCATTGTGAAACTTAATAGTCTTAAACTTGCAGTTTCTCAAGCCACTGAGAACCTTACAGCTTCTCACTCAGATCTAGTGATGTTAGCCATTTGGCACTCCTTTTTTATGTCCCTCTGTCACTTTTATAGATATTGGTAGTCAAGCAGGGCCTGAATATTTAAACCAAGAAGCAGAAGCTGAGATATAGAAGCTGAGATACAAGGGGCTGTAGGTAATTTTGGCATGTGGAAAAGAATAGCATCTTGGCAAAATTGTTTCTTATGGAAGCTTCACCCAATTTTGAATCTTTGTACAGTCAGTTTTTAAAAGCCTCCAACAGGAAATGATGGTGATGGCTGTCTGTTTGAGTCATTGTTTTGTTTTCTTTCTCATTTCTTTCCAGAAGGAAAAACCTTTTACCAGGTGCACTATGAAGATGAGGAAGGCCAAGGTTCTAGCTTCTATGATATTGTAGTCATTGCCACCCAACTGCATGACAGCAAGAACAACATCACTTTCCAGAACTTTGATCCTCCCATTGCGGAGTTCCCTGGAGTCTTCCACACCACTGTCACCTCCATTGTCCACGGTTACCTCAACTCCTCCTATTTTGGCTTCCCAGACCCAAAGCTCTTTCCTTTCGCGAGTGTCCTCACTACAGACACCCCTGCCCTCTTCTTCAATTCCATGGATAATATTTGCCCTGTCAATATATCAGGTGTCTTCAGACGAAAGCAGCCCCAGGAGGCTGCCGTGTGGCGCGTCCACTCTCAGCGCCCTCTGGAGAAGCCGGAGCTGAAGATTCTGTTCCGTTCCTACTATTCTGTCCAAGTGACCGAATGGCAGGCCTATCCTGACTATGAATCTGCCAAGACCCTCCCACCGATCATTCTCCACAACAACCTCTACTACCTCAATAGTGTGGAATGGGCAGCCGGCTCAATGGAAATGGCTGCTGTAGCTGCCAAAAATGTGGCCCTCTTAGCCTACAACTATTGGTATCATGATTTGGAGAAGATAGACCAAAAGGACCTGATGCACAAAGTAAAAACTGAGCTGTGAATTTAACCAATACTGATAAAGCAGATTTTCTGAGAGCCCCTCCATTATTGCATGTAGGCTAAGGAGAGTACAGAAGGATTACACTGGAGTTTCTGCAGGGAGGGAAGACTAACTTAGCCCATGTACAATATCTGCTGTCTGAGGTCAAAGAGTCCTGTACTCGGATGCTATTCTGTCTCAGAGTGACTGTGAACATGTATGTAAGTACACTGTTTATGAGGATTAGCAGACCACCTTGGAAGAGGGCAACAGTCTCCTGTTTTAAAATGGAGCATCCATTCTTCTTGGTCTGAGGGCTCCTTACTCACGGAACTGTGCAGAGACAATGGAAGTTGCTTGGCAAATACAGATTGTGATGGAAACGACCCCTAAAGAGACCTCCCCTTGCCTCTGTGGCATATGCAGCCTTGGATCCCAATTCATTTGTGCTGGATTCCCTTCTTGTGCTCAAATGTCGGTTTGAAAGGCAATGGCACTTCCAGGGTAGTGATATGCTCTTGTGAAATTGTATTTCTGCCAACCCAAGCAGTGCTATTTTTTGCATTGTTACTAGGCTCCATTAACTCTTATCTGATTCGGGAACCAGAGAACCCTGTGCTGGATCTTCAAATACTGGCTAAAGCAGGGCTCTTCAAACTTTTTAAAAAGAGGGCCAGGTCACAGTCCCTCAAACTGTTAGAGGGCCAGATTATAATTAGAAAAAAAACATGAATGAATTCCTATGCACACTGTGCATATCTTATTTGTAGTGCAAAAACACTTTAAATCAATAAATAATTAAAATGAAGAGCAGTTTTAACAAATATAAACCTATTAGTATTTTAATGGGAAGTGTGGGCCTGCTTTTGGCTGATGAGATAGGACTGTTGTTGTTGTTGTATATTTTCAAGTCATTTCAGACTTAGGTTGACCCGGAGTGAGAGCCGGGTAAATGACCTTGGAGGGCCGTATCCAGCCCCTGGCCTTAGTTTGAGGACCCCTGGGCTAAAGCTTAGGTTTGACATCCTGCTGATCCCTACTGCCAGGGTACTGCAGAATCAATGCCCTGATAACCCTGAAACTCCCGCTAATAGCTAATCTTATGGAGCCTTTCCTATGTATTGGGGAGGGGGGCTTTCTCCAGGTCAACCAAGTAGATTGAGCATACTCCCCTCCTAAGCCAAAAACATTTCCTTCACTTTCAAAGCAAAGTCAAGCTGTTATATAGACATTTGGAAACTTTCCTGCATCTGACCTTGTTTGTCATCCCAGAGATGCTTAAAGTAGTATAGCAAAGAACTCCTCTCAAGCAAGGCCAGCCACATTACTCTGGCATTTAAGTAGAAAGCCCCCAAGTCTATCTTTTTATGCCTTACAGACAGTAAAAAAAAAAAAACCGATATAAGAATCAATAAAGAACAGTTTTCTGACTTTTCATGGCCCCACAAATCTGCTGCCTGAAGCATGCTTCTCGTTGCTTAATAGGTGGGTTGACAAGTTTTATGAAGCTGATTCTGTAAGTCTAAGAGTGTTGACTCAGCATCCCAAACACTTCTTTTCCTGCTGCTTCCATTTAAGATGTGATTACCTGTAATTACTTTTTAGGTTAAAGAAACAGTATGATTCAGTTGATTCATTGAATCAATTGAATATTTCAGTCGTCAGAAAAATAACTGAACTCAGCAGCGTTGTCTAAAACAGGGCATACATACTGGATTTTTTGAAAAAGAAAAGTTGATCATGGGCTAAAGAATGGCATAAGTGCAAAACTGTCAAGAATAACACTTTATTGCCAAATACTAAAACTGCCTCTAAATCACAATGAATGGCAGGTGGACCTTATTTCCAAAAGGAGCAGGGCAAATAAGAGCTGCCCATCCTTCAATAAAGAAACCTAAGCTGATTGTTGAATGCCTGTCTCCCAAGTATGAATGAACAAAAGAAAGGTGAAAGTCAACCTGTCAACTCATCCTCTCTTCTGTTCAAAACTAACCCTCTAGATCAGGGGTCCACAGACGTGTGCCTCTATAGTTATTTTAGATTGCAAATTCTAGCATAACCTAGCATAATCAATGATAATGAATGCTTGAAACTGCAGTCCAACACTTGGAAGGTTAAAGGATTCCTGTCTTTGCCCAGGAACATTGTTACTTTTATTTATGTATTTGTTGACTTACTACTGTTGTTTTGATCCATAGATACCTTGGCATTGTCTTCCATAAGCAGAGCAACCTCTATTCCATTCTTCATGGTTTCTTTTTGCTCCTAAGTAATTGAATTTACATTGTCTCCATTGACTGATGGAAATCTTGACCTGTCAGGCCCTTGGCATAAAATGTACGGTCTGCTGCAAAGCTGTGCTGCCTTCTTCATTATGGAGACAGATATGCCTTGCTTTTGCAGGGCTAGGTATGACGTGTGTGCAAATGGTATATTGTCAATGATTGGGGCTTTCCAAATAGTCATGGTTCTTACCCCCAAAACAAGTTGTTCAATGTTTTGATTTCTCCATTGGTCTTGCTCTGTCCTGAGTTTTCATCAGTAGACCCAGGAGAAGAAACCAGTGTCTTTTTAGATGTCAGTGAATGACTACTGTCATGACTTGAGCTTGATGAAAATCATTGTCTAACAATGTATGAAGGGCCAAAGCTACCAGACCTTGCAGTACGGTCTGCTTTGTCTCTGGTATGATCACTTCCTGCCTCTTGTTCCTTTGTCCCTCAGCTAAGCTTCAGACTGATATACATACCCTGTTATCAGAGCCAGCAGCATAGGACTCCTAGAACTGTGTGGTACTAAAATGGGTCATGTCCTTGACAGGTCTTGTTCACCGCAGAAAAAGATATTAAGCAGTCACAAAGAGAAAGGCCTCTCATTCTTCATAAAGTATGGCAAAAAGTCTGTCACCTTCTCTCACTCTTTCCTGAAAAGCAGGATGAAAAGTGCAAATGGTCTTCTTTTACTCTTTAATCTTCAAGCTTTTGATGCAGATCAAGGGCTATACCTATGAATGGGACCATCTAAATTTCAGTAGCACTATGCAAGGAGGAAGAACATTTAAAAGAGCCTGTTTAAATGGTAGGACCCCTGGAATGGACCAATTCCAGAGGAAAGATACAGACTCCAGTTTGTAAACTGGGTAGAAATAAAGTTGTGAAATGGCTGGAGCATCATTCTGAAAAACATTTGAACGCATTTCCCCTCCTTCCCTTCCTGGCTATGGGAAATGTAGCTCTAGAATCATAACATGTGCTGTTAAAATTAAATTAGATAGATAATTTTGTATTTTAGGTCCTTAAACAAAAGGACACATAAACATCTAAAAGAGCCATGTGTGTATTTTCTGAGTCCTGAGGAGAGATGAGCCAAGCCAGTCTTTGAAAAAGTTAGTTTTGGAGACCGTATCTCCAAGTATCCCCCAACCCAGCATGGCCACTTGTTCTGGTGTCTGAGGACTTCCTGGAGTAGTCTAAAGAAGAACTTTTTTCCAGCTCTGTAAGCAGCTTTGTCCTTTGAAGGCATGCCTTTAGCTGGCCAGAAGAAAGAGCAAGAACTGAGAGGATGGAAGAATATTTGCCATCCAAAACTGGCAAGAGGGAAAGGAGCTAAGACATCAGGAGCAGTGTTTATCCCATAGGGATCTGAAGCAGGAAGAACAGATTCTTCAGAAGATGCAAGTACAGCCCACAGCAATGATTTCCATGACCATCTTGTGCTCTTTGTGGCACTTTTTCTTCTTCTTGTGAGACTTGCTTGGTTCACATAGCAGACGATGCACTGGTATTTTGCTGTAGATGGGAATGCTCACCATGGTGCGGTCTTCCTGCATGGTGAAAGGATTGATGCATCCTGCACACAAGCAGTGTGCCTCCGGAATGTCAACTGGTATTCGTGTTGCATCATGATTTATCCTGGAAGGAAATGTAGTGACATCAAAACATATATTGAAATAGTGGGTCACAAACACATGTGGAGCTGCATTACAGTATACATAGGAAATAGGAACAGTAGCAGCTTCCAAATCCATACATAAGTAACATTGATGGAATTCTGCATTCTCCCAGAAAGACTCTCAATATGTGGTAGCAATACAGAATTCTGTCTTGTGCTAAATCAGATCACTTGTCCATTTAGCTCATCACTGTTGAAATCTGGCAGTGGATCTCCAAGTTTTTTGACTGAGCTGTTTCCAACCCTTCCTAAAGATTACAAGAGTAAAAGGTGAGACTTCTGCAATGCAAAATAATCACTTGATCCCTGCGACAAAGGTTTATGACCTCTCTCTGCTGTTGATCATAGGTCACAGAATAGTGGTGTACATATGTACAGCTATGCCACAGCTGCTTTCCAGAAAACAGATTGGGTAGCCCGCAATGAGAAGATAATTGAGCTGGGCGAAGCCAGATGGCAGTGAAGCAAAAGTGACTCCGTATGCTATAGTAACAATGTGTATTGCCAAAATCTGAATTAGTGTAATATCTTCATTGAACCAGAAGGACACGAAAATGTAAGCATGCTTTTGGCGTCTCAGATCTCTTTGTCAGGAGAGATGTTACAAAATGAATATTGACAAAGAGTTGTGAGGGATGGAATTAACTTAATATTGGAGTCATGGCATCTGAGGTGTCCTTCACCCCTCTTGTTTTCTACTGCACCTTGCCTAATGAAGAGATCTGGAGATCTTGAACATTTGCATCCATTTTTTGTAGTGTTTTGGTTGAAGATTTTTCCAGGGCAAATCCGATTACTTCTGTATTTTGTAGGATATGTGACTATGTCTGTTTGATTCTTCTTCTGGCATGATCAGATTAGAAAATTTTAGTCCAGAACATAGCGCTGGACCTGTTTTTTTTAAAAAAAATGTACTCTGTTCTTAAAAGAAAGGTGAAATGAATTAGTACAATTACATACTCAGAAACTTTTAACAGCACCACTAGGGGGTGATGCAGTACCATGAACTTAGATTCCTGCTATTTTCAATAGCATTTTTCAGGCAGCCTCTTAATATTAAGCAGTGTTAAATATACATTTGAACTTATTACTATAGGCTAATAAAATGTCTGTAGTAAGCATCCTCAAACTGCAGCCCTCCAGCTATTTGGGCCTTCAACTCCCAGGATTCGTGACAACAGAACAAGCTCGTTAGGGCATCTGGGAGTAGGAGGTCCAAACAGCTTTAGGGCCGCAGTTTGAGGATGCTTGGTCTTATAGAATGCCATGGCTAAAGGCTACCAACAACAACAACAGAAGACAGAAGGCCTGGTTCTTGCAGACTAGGAGCAAGCCATCAGAACAAATGCCATTAACGCCAGGATCGAAAAATCAACTGATGACCCAAAATGCAGACTGTGTAAGGAAGCTGGTGAAACCATTGATCATCTCCTCAGGTGCTGCAAGAAAATCGTACAGACGGACTACAAGCAGAGGCACAACTTTTTGGCCCAAATGATTAATTGGAACTTATGTCTCAAGTACCACTTGCCAGTAGTAAAGAACTGGTGGGATCATAAACCTGCAAAGCTAGTGGGAAATGAACACTTAAAAATACTGTGGCTGTGTGGTCTCTATATGACATTCATAAAAATGCCATCATTTTCTCAACTCCCTTCTGAGATTGAGAAAGACGGGATATAAATGCTCAAATTAAATAAATAAATAAATAAATGATACATGACATGCCGTTTTTCACTCTGTGCCTCTTTTGAGTTTTAATACGTTCTCTTTTTTTCTTTTTTTTACATTAGTACATTGCCATGCACTGAAATTCTTTTCTGAAATCTTCAGGAAATTACCTGCATGTACTTCATGACACTGGGGAAAACTAATAAGCTTGTTAGCCTTGAATCACAGACTATGGAAATTGGAACATAATTGTTTGGATTGTATAGAAAAGGCCCAAGAAACCGTGTATGTGTGCATGTATTTAACTAAAACCTGGTCTATCTCACCTGTAGGCCCAAGGAGACAAACTCCTCTTGTTGGACATCCAGAGTCTCAGGTTGACTTGGCACTTGCTGTCCATGGGCTCAGAGCTGTTTTTCAGCAGGGTAACCATCTCATGGATGCTTCGCTCATAGTCCTCCACGAGGGTATAGTCTGTGGAGGTCCCTGGATTTACTCTCAGCAGTGGGTCAGGTGAGGAATTCTGAAGCCTCAAGCGTTGATCCTTGGCCTTTGCTGACCCTTTCCTTTTTCCTTTAGTTCCTTTGCTCAAGTCTTTAGTTTCTAATGTGAAAGAAAGCCAGAGAGCATAGAGAGCCATCTGGGAAAGAAGGCAGAGATCACAGTTATTCTGGTATTTTCCTATAAAGCATTGTAACTTACCTAAGCATAATAACCACAAAAATAAAACAATAATATAATCACCTCCAAGATGAAGATTTTAAAACTCAGGTATACGAAACCAACATAATGATTTAAAGCCTTCGTGGCAAAAATACAATTTTTAAGAAGCCAATCTAACCAAATGCTTTTAAAAAGGAAAAGCTAAAACTATTAATAAGAGATGTTAAAACCAATGACATATAATAGGGATTTAAACAGAAAAGATCTACAAGGTCTGATATACTACATGTATAAGAAGTCACAAATATGTTTTATTTTCTCAGAACATAGATGCAGAAATGTACAAGAAATGTCACCATGACATCTAGGTAAATGGATGCAGCAGGCAGAGACTAGAGAAAGGATCTGCAGCTTAAGAGAAGTGGACAAGCAATGGCCCTCCACACATACAGCTTCCACCATTCTTTATCATTGTCTTTCTGACTGGGGCTGATAGGAGATGAAGCATCATAGATAGAACATAGTTTCCCCATGCCATAAACAGTGTGAAGCTATCACTGGAGAAAGGATTGCACAGAGTAGCTATCACTGAAGTTATTGATCAGAAAACTATCCTTTGAAAAATTGATTAAAATAATTCATCCTGAGTGAGTCAATGCCTTAAAAAAAACCAGCCAAGTATTCAGTATCAGGCTATCTTCTTCAGTAATGACTTTGCCGTATTACCCACATTCTGATGTTGCTTGGCTATGTGTATCACTTTTCATCTTTGAAATTGTTGAATGTGATAGGAAGATAAACAACTCATTTGAAATGTGATGCTGGAGAAAAGTTCTACAGATTCCATGGATTAATAGAAAGACAAACACATGGGTTGTGAGCAAATTGTGCCCGAACTCTTTCTAAAGCCAAGATGACTATACTGGGACTGTGGTACTTCTGTCCTATCATGCAAAGTTATGATTCACTTGAAAAGATATTATTGTTTGGCTAGGTAGAGAGTAGTAGGAAAAGAGGAAGATTACATTTCTGATGGATAGATTCTTATCAGAGAAGTGATAGCCCTGAGTCTATAAGATCTGGGTATGACTTAGCGGTCTCTCATTCCTGGGGTCACCATAAGCCTAAGTAGACTTGATGACAGCTAATGACAAAACAACTAAAGTTTCTCCTCTTCTCTCAGGGCAAGAGCAGCTTCACTTCTCTGGGCTGTTTCCTAGGGGAGCTGGGAGGTTATTATGATTATTTTTGTTGGTCTCCTCCATGCTAGGCACCATAACCAATAGCTCATCCAGGCAAAGTTTACACTTCTAAAGCAAACAAGTCTGACAGGCCATTAATAAATAGAAAGTAAATAAATGAGGCCCAAAGAAGGCCAAGCACCTACCAGTTTTGGAGCCCACTCCATCTTAGCGGGCAAGGGCTTCACATACGCCTCCCTCAGCTGCAGAATGAAAGGAGTGAAATGGTCTGGGCACTTTTAAAAAGAAAGCAACAAGTCTTGACCTTTTCATTGCCAGGGAGGTGGACCTGCCTGGCACCAAGAGATGTTCTCTGGGTGCCAGTAAGGTTGTTGACAGAAGGGACAACCCGTCAGTGCTGTCTACTACCCAGTAAGTTGGCATGTAGGTTTCCCCAGGGGCAACAAACAGACACACAACATTGCATCCAGAGGTTGGGTTGGCTTGAAGAACTGGGGTAGGAGAAAGAGCGCTGAATACTCAGCATCCCTGGGGATCAAGAGAAGGGGGGTTGATATTACCTCATGGTAGTGGAGAGGTTCCCCAGTCATTTCTCAGACAAGAAGAGCAACCATTGAATGTTGGTCTTGGAAATAGTGAAGAGGAGAGTGTTTCTCCAGAGTGAGAAAAAGGAGGAGGAGATCAGGGCCTTGTGTGAATGTGTGTGTTTGTGTGTGTCCTGGGAGGTCTGCTTTTGAGTGGGTGGGTTGCTGAATGCAGGGTTTGTCCGAGTTCACACTAGAGGTCCCAAGTCAAGCAATTAGCATAACCAGCGTCCTGGAAAAGGTACGGCAGAGCAGTGCGGAGGCCAGCTAGGGACAAGAACAAAATGGAAGGGCTGCGCTCAAGTTTAGGTGGGAATTAATGTGTGGTGAGGCAAAATAGCAGGAATAGAAAGTCCATTAATGAACTCCTCTTGGCTTGCTTGCTTGCTTGCTTATTTATTTATTGAGCACCTAGGATAATCTTGGTGCTCTTAGACAAAGAAGTAACTGATTTGCTTTCCTGGTGTTTCATTCACCAAGAAAGAAGGGGGAAAGACAGGACTACTTTGTGGACAGAGGCACTAAATAAATAAGAGATTCTCTCAGAAACTCCATTTTAATGGTGGAGAATCAGAAAGGAATATATATGACTCTGAGCTTCGGGTGGCAGATCAAGGAGGGAAACAAGCAATGGCTATTGGTGCAACAAGCTTTTATGTTGGCCTACCACACAGTAAAATTAGTTGGCAGAAAGGCAGGGAATAGATAATTCCTATTTTTGAGCAAGTGCTGTCAGTGGTTAGATCCTTTAGAAAACATCAAATGGAGCCGTTGAAATTATTAATCTATTTAATTTATATCTTTCCTTTTTCAAGTACAGGGTACAAAGTAAGGATAAGCAATTTGTATGGGATCCAAGGTGGTGATTAACAAATTATAGCAGTGGGAATCAGAGTGATCTTGTCTGCCATGGACTCATCTTGTTGTGTTTCTAATAATAATAATAATAATAATAATAATAATAATAATAATAATAATAATACAAGAACAAGCCATTAGAACATATGTCATCAAAGCCAGAATTGAAAAGTCAACGACAGATCCCATATGTAGACTCTGCAAGGAAGCAGATGAAATGATAGATCATATCCTCAGCTGCTGCAAGAAGATCATGCAGGCAGACTACAAGCAGAGACATAACACTTTTGCTCAGATGATTCATTGGAACTTGTGCCACAAATACCATCTGCCTGCGACAAAGAACTGGTGGGATCACAAGCCTGAAAAACTTACAGAAAATGAACATGTCAAACTACTCTGGAACTTCCAAATTCAGACAGAGTTTTGGAGCACAATACTCCCGGCCTCACGATCGTGTTAAAAAACAAAGTATGGATCGTCGATGTTGTCCCAGGGGACAGCAGGACTGAAGAGAAACAACTAGAAAAGCTGACACAATATGAGGATTTAAAGATCAAACTGCAAAGACTCTGGCACAAGCCAGTAAATGTGGTCCCAGTGGTGATCAACACACTGGGTGCAGTGCCTAAAGATCTTGGCCTGCACTTAAACACAATGGGCACTGACAAAATTACCAGCTGCAGAAGGCCACCTTACTGGGATCTGCATGCATTATTCACCGATACATCACACAGTCCTAGACACTTGGGAAGTGACCGCTGTGTGATCCAGTAAAAAAGTCAGCAGAGTGATCTTGTTTGCTGTGGACTCATCTTGTTGTGTTTCAAATAATAATAACTTTATTTTTATACCCTGCCTCCATCTCCCTGAAGGGACTTAGTGTGGCTTACATGACTCCAAGCCCAATAACAGAGTTAAAACATAGCACGACAACATAAAACAACATTATAAAAATATAAAACAAGCATCAAAACCAACAACAATAACATAATTCAAGCCTCAATATGGCTGGGCGCCCTGGTGCCCAACAGTTCGGAGGCCATGTATCAGTGTTACGGATAAGAGTAATATAAAAGAGGTCAACACTAATTTTGGATAAAATGATAGTAAAGTGCATAGTCAGATTTTTGGGTCCTAACTAGGGACAATTGTCAAGGGAAATGTTTAATCAAATGCACAGTGGTACATCCATGTCTTTAGATCTTTTCAAAAAGTGGATAGGGAGGGGGCTAGTCTGATCTCCTGGGAAGGGAATTCCAGAGCCGGGGGCGACAGCCGAAAAGGCCCTCTCTCTTGTCCCCACCAACCAGGCCTGTGACAGAGGCGGAAGCAAGAGAAGGGCCTCTCCAGAAGTCCTCAGAGACCGCGTGAATTCATAAGGGAAGATGTGGGCCCAAAGAAATGCAAGTCCCGAACTGTTTAGAGCTTTATAGGTGATGACCTGCACCTTGAATTGGGACCGGAAACTTATCGGCAGCCAGCGGAGCTGTTTGAACAGAAGGGTTGACCGCTCCCTGTAACTTGCTCCAGTTAAGAACCTGGCTGCTGACCTTTGCACCAACTGCAGCTTCCGGGCTGTCTTCAGGGGCAGCCTCACATAGAGTGTGTTACAGTAATCCAACCTTGAAGTGACTAAGGCATGGACCACCATGGTCAATTCAGACTTCTTGAGGTATGGTCGTAGCTGGCGCACTAGTTTTAGCTTGTGCTAAATATCACCCTATCTGTACAGCATGCCTTTGTGCTGGCCAAGACAAAATTCAGCTGCACATTTACTTTTGTCTTGATGGGTTTTTTTCCCTTCCTTCCAGCATCTTTTCCCATCATGGCAACCTGAAGGTGTTTTGAACTATAGTTTTGATCATCTCCAGGCAGCTAGCAGTCCTGCAACCAGTGAGCCATGTGTAGATGTTGTTGGATTGTAACTCTTAGCATTCTAGCCAGTGGTTGTCCTGGCTAGAGCTGATGGGCCTTACGGTCCCAATGACACCTTAAGGCAGTGGTTCTCATCCTGTGGATCCCCAGGTGTTTTGACTTACAACTCCCAGAAATCCCAGCCAGTTTACCAGCTATTAGGATTTCTGGGAGTTGAAGGCCAAAACATCTGGGGACCCACAGGTCGAGATCCACTACCTTGAGGGCGGCCCTTTGCATGCTTCAGATTGATACCTATAGTTTATTTGCACAATGGTGAAAGATTTTATTTCCATTGAACATTATGAGTATGCTTGGGGGAGCTTTCCCTCAAAGTCTCTTAAACTCTCACCAAAAATGTCTTGTCATAGAAAAGCAGATAGTTACCTCTCAGGATTTTATAATATTTCTCCTGAATATTGAAATCTTGGGGGGGGGGGGGGCTTGTGTGGTTGTTGCTTGTATAGGAATGTAGTTAGTCATCATCACAGTGCCTTCTA